AAGGAGTACGAGTACAGCATGAACGTGCTCGCCTTCCACATCCAGGTGCGTGTGTCAAGCACATGCACTCACGCACGTCACATGAACCCTTCACATACATGTGCATGTCACTAGCTCCCCCCTCCTTCCCTCTCCTCTCCATCCCCTCCCAGAGCCTGGACGTCATGCCTCTAGACTTGTCAAAGTTCCTCCTCTGTGCCACTTCCTTCCTGTTGGAACCTCCATTTCTCCACCAAGCTTCCTCCTCTCCCCTCGCCCCCTTCCCGTTGACCCTCTACAGAGCACGGACATCATGCCCGCCTTCCCCTGGATCGCGCCCTTCTCAGCGTCGGTGCCGGAGATCTGCCGCATCGTGCGCATCTTCATTGACAGCTCCGTGTCATTCCTGAAGCACACGGGCCACATGGACCAGTACGACCTGGTCAGGCGCTACCTGGACCGCCTGCTCACTACGGTGGTCAACGAGGCGCTGCTAAGGCTCATTGGCAACCCCACGCTGCAAGTGTCGCACGCCATGCAGGTGAGGAGTGAATCACGGGTGAAAGAATGAGCTGTCTTCATACAGCATGCATGCAATTATGTTACCTGGCATGCCATATTCATAGACTGACGGCGCTTCCTCCTTCCCTTTCTCCGTCCCTCCCTCCGCCTCCCTTCCCCGCTTTGTCACCGTCAACTAACGGCCAACATGGCAGTGATGCAGTGCGCATGTGCGTTCCTTACAGAGCACGCATGCACCCAAACCATCCAGCATACCATCTCATCAGGTAAATGGCACTCCCTTCCTCCCGCCCTCCCTCCCTTCCTCCATCCCTCCCTCCCTCCCTCCCTCCCTCCCTCCCTCCCTCCCTCCCTCCCTCCCTCCCTCCCTCCCTCCCTCCCTCCCTCCCTCCCTCCCTCCCTCCCTCCCTCCCTCCCTCCCTCCCTCCCTCCCTCCCTCCCTCCCTCCCTCCCTCCCTCCCTCCCTCCCTCCCTCCCTCCCTCCCTCCCTCCCTCCCTCCCTCCCTCCCTCCCTCCCTCCCTCCCTCCCTCCCTCCCTCCCTCCCTCCCTCCCTCCCTCCCTCCCTCCCTCCCTCACTCACTCCCTCCCGCCCTCTCAGGTGGCGGCCAACATGACAGTGATGGAGCGCGCATGTGCGTTCTTCGCCGAGCACGCAGCCAAGTCATGCGGCATCCCGTCTCGCCTGGTGGACGGAGCGCACGGCACGCTGGCAGCCAGGAACAGCCTGAGGCAGTCGCAGGCGGGGGCGTACGATGCGATGCTGAGGATCATGAACGAGAAGATCGACGACATGATGGCACCTGCAGAGCAGATCCCGTGGAATCCCATGGAACCTCCCGGGGTACGAACTCCCCGCGCTCCCCGTATTCTTACTGCCCCGATCCCCTTTTCTCTTCCCCGTGCTGTGCTGTATGTACAAACTCCGCACGACCCTAGAGCATGCATGTGATAACCATACCCTCATTGTGTGTGCGGCTACGAGTCCCTGACCTGCTTCCATTACCATCCCTTCCCCCTTCCACTCCCTCTCATCAGCAGAATTGAGACTAAATCCTTATGTCATTTTGTTATCTCTCCCATGCCTTCTCACTCCGTCGCTCACCCCTCTCCTCTGTGGGCCTGTGCGGCCTCTCGGTGTGTGCGTGAGAGCAGCTGGTGAACGAGTACCTCACGGACCTCTGCATATACCTGGAGACAATGATGGAGACCGCCAGACAGCTGCTGCCCCTCGACGCCTTCCAGCGGGTGAGTGGGCCTCTCTCACTTCCCCAGGCAACTGCTAACTTCTGCTGCCAGTTCAATTTGCTCCCCATCCAACCCTCAACCTGTCCCTCAGCCCTCAGCCTATTCCACCTCTACACTAACCACTGGCCGTTGTCCCCCCAATCGCAGGTGAGTGGTGGCATGATGCGCCACATCAGCAACGTGCTCGTGAGCCTGCTGTGTGGCACGGCCGTGCCGCGGTTCAACCTGTACGCGATCCAGGGGGTGGACAACGACCTGCGCGTGATCGAGGGCTTTGCGGACCAAGAGGACGAGAAGAGCGGCGTCATGAAGGACAACGGCGAGGCGGTGCCGCTCAAATCGCACCTTGCGGAGTCGCGGCAGCTGATCAATCTCATTCTGAGCAATAACCCGGAGCATTACGCGACTAAGTCGCATCGGGAGAAGAATTACGGGGCCCTTGCACCGACTAAAGTGCTTATTGTCTGCGATAAATACCGGGTACGTGTTTCTGCGGCTTGTTCGATAGAGGTTTCTATTTATGAGTGTCACCTTACGCCGTTCGTGTGCTTTGCTGGTGCCAGGATGTGGGAGAGGCAGCTGTGGGTTTGTTTGGCACACGCAATTCAAAGCAGGTGAACAAGAAGAAGGGACTAGATGCACTGGCACGGAGGCTAAGGGAAGACATTGCGAATTCAGCTTGAACCTCATCGTAGCAAAAAGTTGTAATCTTTGATTTGTGGCATATGATAATGGCAACCTGCTCTTGTTATTGTTATTCATAGCGTACTACCCAGTTATAACATTTGCCAGTACGCGCCAGTTCGTCTGTGCGGAATTGTCTGCCACATTCAAATGTCCGATTATGCGGTCTGCTTCCCGGGAAACGGCCTTTTAAATTCTGGCGGGAATCTGGTACAGGCCTGTCGAGCCGTGTTGATTCATCGTGTTCTCTGTTCAGGAAGATTCTGGCTGGTTGGCTCTGTTGTCGCGTGGTGCCATGGCAGGTGTGAGAGTGGTGACGAGGGGATTGCCCCGTTGACAATTCATCATCATGGATCCTTGGGGAGTCACACATCACACACCTTGCACGCCAAACATGTTGTCAATGCTTTGGATTTCGGGGCACCATAAAGTCTGGGCTTCTACCCAATTACGGTGTGAATGACTGGGAGGAGAACTTATTCCCCCCTGCATTGGGGCTCATTGGGGTAATGAGGGGTTTGGGGGGGGGGGAGGGATCTCCTTCTTCATTTTCTTTTTATGAGGCGTCAGCACTGCCCTGGTAGGGGGCCTGGTTTCCTCCTGGGATCTCCTTAAAACCCCCCCCCTTAAAAAAAAAAAAAAAAAAACTGCCCTGGCGGGCGGCCTGTGAGCAGTCGCGGGTTTGATTGAACAAACATAAAGTTGGATGTCTGTTCACCCACTGGGCGAAAGCGTAAGCTGGACTAGACCCGCCCAAATCTAGCCACCTCGTACTTCCACGACCAGACCGCAAATAGCTGACGAAACTGGCTGTTCGCGAAACCTGGCCGGCAATGGTTGTGGTCATCGTAAAGTTCAAGGCTTACTCTAGAGGTGGCTAGTACAGAAGTTAAATGTTTTAGAGTACAAGACTTCTAGTATGTTCATCAGTCCCAAGCTTTCGGTATTCTTCTAGGTGGCAAACGGGAATTCGAGACAAATTCTGGTTGGATTTCAGGTCATTCCCGAAGGATATTCAGCGTACTTTGGCAGCAGGTTCCGAAGAGTCCAAATCCACCTTTCCGCTTGCGTATGCCCCGGGTTGTGTAGCGTGGCTGATGGAGGGGAGGGTCCAACCAGGGCTTTTTTTCACGAGTAACTATCCGGATTTCGGCATAATCACGGGTGATTTTTCGACCGATTCCAGATTCTGACGTGTTCGTTCTCTTTGAAACCGGATTCTGACGGGTTCAGGCTTAGCCGCACCCGTGAAGTGACGTATTAGTTTTGTAAAGTACCCTGATCTGACGGGTGAGCCCCTGGAAAAAATGGATCATAGAGCTACAAAATCCCCCTAGTCCCCAACCCCCATTACCACCCCCACCCTCTCCCTTCCCTTTCCCCTCCAGAATTAATATGTATCCAAAGATTGGACGGCTGTTCACAAGAGCGAGAAGACAGCAGGGCACAGAGCCTAGCTAGCAGTTTACATAGGTGAAGTGGTGTGTTTCGTTCTTACAGAGCCCTTGAACTGGCAATTTTGACGCTACGAAAAAATTCCCGGAGCTGACGTGTTCGTTGTTTTTTCTACCTGGCTTCTGACGTCTAGCTTGAAAGGTACACCCGTGAAATCCGGGTTTCTGCATAGGGGTACCCGGATCTGCCGTGTGGACGAAAGCCCAAATGTAAGCCCTGGGTCCAACCCAACGAGCAACCATCAATCGGCGCACGACGCGGAGCTCCTGGTTGCTTGCGCCGGGGTACAGTACCACGCCGGAGTGGGGGAGGGCAAGACAGGTGGTGGTTTGATTTGGACAAGATTTGCGTGCCTCACCGAGCCTCAACACATCCAAACGTGCGAGCACTATTTGAACCGTACAAAAACCTCTCGCACCTGCTCTCAACTCGCCAAACTACCATTGCCATGCCCCGGTCTCGAGAAGCTTTTCCCAACCAGCATCCCCAGCCCGGAACCGGACTTGCGCAAATCTGTCAGGCCAGGGGAGATGCACCCAGGGCTTTGCCGAAGGGCTGTCACCCTCCAATAGCATGACCAAAGGGTAAAGTTTTGCAGCCCCTAGAAAAGACAGCGGGTTTGGGTTTCTAGACGGCCCATGTTTTGCAGCGTGATGCATCAGACTGGACCACTGTTCTCGCAGTTCTCATTAGTCAAAATCTCGGACCCGCACTTTCTGTGGAGACTTCGAGCCACTCGCTCGAGCCCATCGTGAACACGGGAATGCTCTATGCGCGCCCAAGAAATGTCAGGGTAGAGTCGAAACATTTAGTGCCACCCACTTTCACGCAGTGAAATTATAGCGGGCCAGTGTGCCTGCCATTCCCCACTCCCCATTCCCCATTCCCCATTCCCCATTTCTCCCGTTCCGCGTTTTCCCCGCGCATTCAGCCAGCGGCGCGGAGAAAGTCTCGCCTCGAGTCTCTCAAATCATCAATTCCTCGATTCTTCAAATTTGAGCGGCAAGCTCAAGAAACCGAACCCAGCATGCAGCAAGGGGGGTTAGGGGAGGAACTTTCTTCCCTCGCCGCGTCGTTGACATTCTGTCACTTGCTCTCTCTCGCTCTCTCGCGTCTCGTCTCCGCTTGCTTTGCCTTCTGAGGTGTTCAGATGTTCGACGACACCAGAGTCTCGCCAAGACCAGCAGTCGGGGGACTCGGTACGTACCCCGATGGTCCAGCCCACGACAGGACGCGTTATGGCATCCCGCACGTAATTACTAGGCGAGGCTGTAGTGTAGACTCTGGAGATCGTTGCTGCTGTGCCTGGTTTGTCTGGCTCCGTCACCCGCGTGTCGTGTGAATCGACAGTTTTCTTTGGCACTCGATCCAGAATAGCGGCTTCGTCTGCGTAGTTCTCAGGCTGCTTGCCGTCGCAGAGTCAGTTACCAGCTTACGTAGCGAGCTTGTCCTCAAGGAGCGTTTGACTGTCAGAGCGGAATAGGATGGAACCGCTCTTAGAATAAACCCAAGCGATATAATAAAAGCGTTGGAAGCGGAAGACCGTGCGTGGTGCGCAACCTAGCGCTTCTTGACGAAGTGATTAAGGAGCAGATTTGCGTGCAGGGAGCGTGATGGAAGCTTTTCAGAAGCTGCAGGTAGGACGTTCGGTTCCAACTGCTGGGAGTTGACAAAGTTATCTATCAGTTTGCCCTGGTTAAAAAGAACGGGATAAGAGGAATATTATAGCACTTCGGATTGTCTGGCGTTAGCTTTAGTGTTCTAAGCTGCTGAATGGCTGACTGAATAAGGGGTTAGTCTCATGTAAGATGCATGGATAGGCATGGTGAGGCATGGAGAGGCATGGAGAGGCATGGAGAGGCATGGAGAGGCATGGAGCGGCCTATTTTCATTGCGTCTTCTGCCTACTTCCCCTGACCACGGCAATCAGGTGATTCGTTTACGTTTCTTACTCCCCCTGCTCGTTTATCGAATCCCTCTCAACAGGGTATATTTGACCGCCGCCGTCCTATCAGTGGAGCGTCGCTCGATCGCCGGCGACGACGGAGCCTGCGACGGACGGCGATCGACAACCGTCGCAACGATCGCCGCGATCTACGTGCCGACGCTCCTGATTCCGCTACTGTCGCCGCCGCCATCCCGTTAGATGCCTCCATCCAGAGGCCTTCTAGCACCAGAGATATTTTTTATCAAGCCAGAATCTACTCGACATCCGATAAAGCCTTTTCGCGGCACGAGTTATTTCTGACACCCGATTCCTGCAATCGAGCCACGCCTCCCCCCGTTAACAGCACAGGCGCTACTAACCTAGAGATGCTATCTAGAGTCACCTTGGGATCGCCGCGTAGGAAAGGGGAGCGCCGGGAGCGCGCCTCGGGGTCAGACCAACCCCCCCTTGAGCGACCGCAATCGGCGCCGGCTTCCCCGGAGAGGGGTCGCAGCGCCACGTGCGGTCTGGTCAACCATCGTGCAAAGGAGCGCCAGTCACAGCAGCAGCAGAAGCAGCAGAAGCAGCAGCAGCAGCAGCCGTGCCTCCACCGGCCGCCCTCTCCGCTTTTCGGACGTCGATCGTGCTCCCCGCGCTTTCCGCCAAGCTGCAAAATCGGAAGCCCGCGCTACCGGCGGTACCTGTGCGGCGTGCCGTGCGTCGATGACGTGGAGTGGGACCGGGATGATCTGTTCCAGGACGCCGATGACAGGGATGAAGACGGCGAGGATTTGCGAAATCAGATGTGTAACACAGACGGCGGCGAAGAGCGAATTCTTTTCTCGGAAGTGACGGGCCGAGCGTTGGGAGCCGAGAATAGTCTAGAAGAGGGGAAAGCGGCCGAAGGAGACCGAAACGCATTAATAGGAGGGGAAAACTCTATAGCGGAGCAGGAAAGAGAGACGGGCCCAGCTACAAGGACGCAGACGGAGATTTTACAGAGAAACGAGGATTCTTATAGCGGAGCGTCGGGGGGTCCTGAAGCAGGACGAAACTGCGCAATCGCCGTCCCTGGAGAGCCTTATCGTGTAGCGCGGCGGAGGGCGCGGAGACCGCGGAGTCTTCCGCCGACCACCAGAGGTCTTCTTGCGGAGGAGGAGGGGGAGTCGGCGCAATCAGCACAGGCGGCGGAAGATGCTATCGCGGCGGGGAAACTGGTGCGGAGGGCGGAAAGCAGCGGTGCAACAGCAAGCGCGGAAAGTCCGCGCTCTCCGCGGACTCTGACGCGGAGCCAGAGCCCGTGCGGGCGGAGGAAAGGAGGTGGGAAGGCTGGCGGCGGCCGTGCGACGATCTTCGGCGACGAAAACGACTCCTCTGCGACGTCGGCGGGAAGAAGCTGGTGCACGGCGGATAACGCCCTGCTGGGGGTCGCCGCGTGCGACACGGACGGCGAGGATCCGTCGTGGCGAAATCATCGTGACGTCGGGAGGGCGTCGTGGGAATCCGGTGCGGGTCGTTCGCTAGTGGACGTGGAGCGGCGCCAATCGCGGAGAACGGACGGCGGCGGACGGCCGCGTCGCGATGACGCGGCGGAAGCCGGCAGGGCAGCAGCGCAAGACAGCGACAGATCCGCGCAGGCGGCAGCATTCTCGGAGAGGCGGCAGGCGGCTGCAGCTCCTTTAGAGGCGGAAACGGCGCGCGAAGAGGGGGCGGCGAGGGCGGGGGAGGGCGCACCTGCGGCAGCAAGAGATGCAGCGGAGGGGAAGGCGGGAGACGCTGGTACCGCGGATGCGAGAGGGGGGATGGATCGGGACGAGGGGGGGGGAAGCGGTGGAAGGGGGCGCGATGAGGAGACCACTGGCAGGGAAATCAGACAGGGGATCGGCACAGGGGGGAAGAGGATAGGCGCAAGGGGGAAGAGGATAGGCGCAGGGGGGCATGCGGAAGACATGGCGGACGGAACAGCAGCAAGGGAGGCGCGAGATAGAGTCACAACTAGCAACAGCAGCAGCAGCAGCAGCTTAGGTGAGGGTATTGGCGACGAGGGGGAGAAGAAGGGGAGGGGGAGGAGGGGGAAGAGGGGGAAGAGTCGCGGAAGAGAAGGGGCAAGCCGTGGGCGCAGGGGCAAAGAGGACGACGAAGACGGGTGCTGCGGTGGTAGTGGCGAAGGGGAGGCAGGAGGGGAGGGGGGAGGGGAGGGGGGAGGGGAGGAGGAGGGCGGGTTGGTGAAGAGTGGGAGCAGCGGCCAGTGGCACCGGCAGTGGTGGGTACCGCGTGATGCTCTCACCAGCGACAGCAGCGGCGGCAGCGGCAGCAGTGGCACTAGCAGTGGCACTAGTAGTGATGGCGACGGTGGCACCAGCACTGGCAGCACCCGAATGTGCAATGGCGGCAGTAATGGAATCAGCGGCAGCAGCACCAGGAAGGAAGGATCGGAAGTTGAGACGGGAAAGGGAGAGCCGGATGCAACGGCGGATGGGAAGGGTCAAGATGGCTTCGGTCGAGCAGAGAGGCGAGAGGCCGTTTCTTCTTCCTCTTCCACTGCCGCAGCTACCCTTCCGTGCCTCCTGCCTGACACCCTGTCCGTATGTCGTGTGCAGTCCCAGCAACAGGCAGAGCAACAGGGAGAGCAACAGGGAGAGCAACAGGGAGAGCAACAGGGAGAGCAACAGGCAGAGCAACAGGGAGAGCAACAGGCAGAGCAACAGGGAGAGCACGGCACATTCTTGTCGCAAATGGATGGCAACACTGTGGAGAAAACTGGTGATGCTGCTGGTGGCGCTGACAACGGCAATGGTAGGGATGCTGCTGCTGCTGACGATAACGGCAATGGTAATTCTGCTGCTGCTGCTGCCACTTATGATCAACAGCTGGAAGCTCCACCATACGCCGCTGTGGAGCACTACTTCCCATGTGACGGGTTCTTCCAACCCAGGTTCGACGAAGCTTCATCCAACAACTCGTCCTGCTCGCCAGAACTCCTGCTCTCCTTCACCCCCCCCGACCCCTCGCCGCACTCCCTCGCCTCCTCTCTCCTCCACCCATCTTCTTTCCTCCTGGATTGCACACATCCCCTCTGCGCTCCTCCCCCCTTCCTCGCCCTCTCGACGGGGGAAAGGGAGAATGGGACTGCTGCTGGTGGGGCAGAAGGACAGATAGAGGGGGAGGTGGTGGGGGAGAGAGAGGGTAAGGTCATGGGGAGACTGGGTGTGATAGAGGAGGTAAGTGAAGGTGGTGAGGTGGCCGCTGCATCTGCTGCTGATAGTGACGCTGATTCGTTTCTGAGTGACTCGTTTCACCGAGGAGTGAGGCTGGAGGATGTCATACGGCAGTGGGACATGGGCATGGGCATGGGTGCAGTCAAACCTGTGACTTTACATACTGCTTCCTACTTGGGAACCACCAGTGGGGTGGCAGCAAAAACGCCTGCAACAGGCTCAAGTGAGGGCAAGAGCGACCCTGCATCCTCCCCCCTGCTCCCTCCCTCTCAGTCTCCTGTCCGCCTCCCCACCACCACCAGCACCACCGCCAATGCCGCCACCACCACCAGCACCACCAGCACCACCAGCACCACTGTTATTGCCACTATCACCAGCACTACCAGTGCCCCTCGCCGCCGCCTGGCCTCCACTGTGATCCGCGGAGCCAATCTCCGCCACCCTCTCTCCCAGCTCCCCCACGCCTCCTCCCCTGCTGGCCTTGACTCCTCCCTCTCCCCCGCTGCCACGCCCCCCCGCCCCATCCTCGGCCGATCCGCCTCACTGGGTTCGGCGGGAGGAGGAACCTTGGCAGGAGGTTCGGCGCAGGAGGGCGTGAGAGGAGGGGTCAGCAATGGGGATGCTGTTGCTGTTGCTGTGGCTACTGCTGCTGCTGGTGCTGCTGCTGCTGCTGCAGGGGTTAGAGAGAACACTTGTGACATGGTGAGTGGGAGTCAAACTGGGGTTGAGGTGCCAAATCCAAGGGCAATGGCAGCAGTGTCAGGAGAGGCAGTCTGGAATGCTGGCAGTAACAGCACATGCAGCAGTAACAGCAGCAGCATTGGTGGGAGCAGTGTGAGCAATGGCGGTGGTACAGGCAGCCAGCTCAGCACCAGAAGCATCGGCGGCGGCAGCAGCATCGCAGAGGGGTTTCGCGACTGCAGGAGCAGTGGGCTGATTCGGGTGCTGTTGGCACAGAGTGCCACTGGGAAAGGTGGGGAAAGCGCACGTCAGGTGGAACAAAGCGGCGGTGTGCTACAGAATGTGGCGCAGCAACCGCAGCAGCAGCAGGAGCGGGAGGAGCGGGAGGAGCAGGAGGATGGTCTGCAAGCAACGCCAGAGGAAGTGAAAAGTGTGCAGCCCAATGTCACGAACATGCAGAAGAAGACACAAGCAAAGAAAAAAATGAAATCTGGGGATGGGGAGCAAGGAAAAGGGGGAGAAATGATAAGTGGAAGGAGGAAGAAGGATCTGAGGCGCTGTTTGGGAGTGAAGAGGAGGGGTACGAGGGTGGTGGTAGGGCCCAGGAGGCTGGAGGTGCTCAAGAAATGGCTGCTGGAGGTGATTGCAGAGGCACGGGGGGGGAATGCGGTGGCGTTGGGAGGAGCTACGGGATTTTAGTGTATGGCTGCTAGACGTTCATATGCCTGCTTGATTGGCGAATCAAGCTGCCTCCCATGCAGTCCTCCGACTGCCGATTTGATTCTAACCCACTCAAATAACAATGTTTTTCCTAACTTATTTATGGGTTTCTTCACCTTTATTTTACTTTTGTATCCTCATATATGCATACATGGGTGTGTTATCGTTGGCTTCTTACGGTGTTATTCGAGTGATCAGTGGATGCACAACAGAATGCGTCTGCGACGTTCGACGACGCCAAATGGCTTCCAGCCGAAGCAATCCGCGATTCGCTGGCGGAAAAAGTATATCCATGCGACACAGGCGATCTTTTCTGGTTTCTGAAAGTGGTGCTGTTTTTTCTCTCCGCCAACTGGTGAAATTCGCTTAGTTCTGCAATGTCCTTCGCGAGCAGAAGCTCGTTGTCACTCTTGGTGTGTGTTGTCGCGAGCCTCGTTTCCCCGTCATTCTCTGAGGACTTGCGACGGCCAATCGAGCTCGCGAGCCAATCCATCGACACTCGCCTGCGGGCCTGCGACCTTGGGAACAGCGAATCCTGGTAGGCGAATTTCCTTGTTCTGAGAGGTCTGCGACCTTGGGAATTGGAAATTCTGGCGGGAGAATTGGCTTTGGCCTGGCTCACTTTTTCCCCTGGCTTCGAGAATCTCGTCTCATGCGCTGGTGCCATGATCTCTGGGAACTGATCACGAGTCAGAAACTAACGCCATTCTCACTGGCGCCTTCTGTTTCCCATCCCCAGCTCCCATGGAAATCCAAATTCCGCTCAGCTCGACTTCTCTGGCTGCGACGATGCCGAACCAGAATCGTCGGGTGAAAATGCGACTTCACGTTCTTCAGAGAGTCGTGGGGACGAAATGGGGGGAGATGGGGTCCAACCGCTGGCTAACGAGCCATCCCGTTCAACTGAAACCGTCCGTGCGCTGCGCGCGTTGCATGTCTTGGTCCAGTTGACAGACAACGATGCTCAGAGTCGTAGAGAAGATGTCAGAGACCGACTATTTAAGGATGTCCTTACAGTCGGCGGGAGAATATTGAACTACGTACCCATTGACTCGTACCTGGTGCTTCTTCCCTGCGTTAAGGCGGCCTACGCGATTAGCAGGCTCTCATACATTTCGTGGATCGGTCGCTTACGAGGAGAGTCGAAGCTAGCGCCTGAATGGGGTCCCATCCTACGGTCAGTCTCTGCTTTTTCCATGTTCTTTCCAAGCTTTTTTCCGTGTTCTTCCCCTGAACTTGACTGTTATGAATCAAGCGCTCTCCCGTTTCAGGCACTATAAAACCTCCGATAACATCAAGGAGGGAAGCTACATGTATGACATGATAGATGTGGACAAAGAAGGTCGACCAATGGTCACCGTCGTGTTGCCTGATCAAGGCTCATACAGCGACTCCAAAGCATACGCCTCCTTCATTCACAGCACTCTGTGTGTTAAGTTTAGTCATTTTGAACAACCATTCGAAGGATCAGATTCAGCCCGTTTGCCAGATTCGACGATTTCAACTTCGGCATTGAACCAGTCATTGATAAACTATGCTGAAGAGAAGCAACATCTCCATCCACAGAAGATTCGAGATGATTCCCGTCCTCAGCCACTGGAAGCTTCTGAAGACTCGTATTGCTCCACATTCAGCGTATCTCTGGAAGGGATAAGCACCACGACCACACATGAAGGCTCGAACCGTGATGAAACTAGCACTCCAGGCACCAGCACACATGAAAGCAGCACATCTGACGAAGCCCGGAGTCATCAACGTGGCATCGCAAGTCAAGATCTGGTGATCCTAGCAGCGCCGAAACCCCTCCTGCCTGCCGTGCTGCAGTGGCTGCAGCAGCAGGGGTGGGTGCAGTGGATCGCCCCTCGGCCCCGCTCTCGCCTCCACAACCGCTGGGCCTCTGCTGTCACTCAAAGCGCCAGCACCACCGGCCTTGACGAGAACCCAGGGTTTGGATCCACAGGACCGGGGACGGGCTCGGGCACTGGCAGGAGTGGGAATGAGCAGAGGAGTGAGTTTGGAGCGGCAAGGCCTCTGTGGCGTGCTGGCATCACGGGGTCTGGGCAGATCGTGGGGATTGGAGACAGCGGCATCGACATGCAGAGGTGAGAGGAGATCCTTTTCTGGACTGGCCTTTCTCCTATCCCATTCCCATGCACACGTTGCACCTTGTTCACCTCGTTCCGTTGATGCCAGCTCAGCCTTATTCTCGTCCAGCTGTATAACCCTGACCACACAAAGCTCCTCCTCCACTCAAGCTAACTCCCTTTCCTCCCCTGCACCTCTCCTCTCCCACGCCCAGCTGCTTCTTCCGCGACGACACAGTGCCTCTCCCGGGCTCCTCGCACCGCAAGGTGGTGCAGTACCGAGTGGTCAACGGCGACACCGTGGACGAGCTGGGCCACGGCACCCACGTGGCTGGCTCCGTGGCAGGGGCGTGCTCAGCACAGAAGCAGCCGCGGCAGCCAGGGCAGCAGGGGCAGGGGCAGCCCGGGGACAGCGGGTCCCAGAGCATGGACCTGTACCCTGGAATGGCACCTGATGCACGCATTGCGTTCACTGACATGGGCGAGGGGGATGTTGGGTACATCATGCCTCCTGCTGACCTGGGGAGTGGGTACTACGGGTGAGTGCTTTCATGGATTTCTGTCTAATGGCGTCTGGGTGCTCCTGAAGCATGAGGAAAGACGAGGGACTAGGCTGCCATTGTTGGTGTCCGATCTGCCCCCAGTTAAGAAGTCCCCTCGTCTTTCGAGCTGCAGTTGCAGGCATTTGATGGGGCTGTGAAATCCTAGACACCACTGCCCCTATCTCTGTCTCTCTCCCTGTGGGTGCAGGCAGGCGATGAGGGCGGGGGCGTTCATCCATTCGGACTCGTGGGCGTCAGGGGTGCGCGCTTATGACTACATGGCGCAGTCAGTCGACCGCTTCACCTTCTACAACCCCGTGAGCCTTCAGCAGTCGTGCCAGCAGCTGCAATCGGCAGCATGATGCTCAATCGATCGAGGCTGAAGAGGACTGCAGCCATGAGGCCACTCTGAGCCATGCATGTGTGCCTCTCGCACTGTGACTGCAGTCGCCCCTCTAACACACACGCATGCCTCTCATTTCATTCTCGACCTTTCCATGGTGTTCCTTTTCAATCCTTCATCCGATGGCAGAACTTCCTCCCTGTCGTTGCTGCAGGCAACATGGGCTCTGTGCACAAAGACTCAAGTGCGTATGCCCTCACCTTTTCTTGCGTTCGTTACGAATCTTCATATTCCAAAACTCATGCCACTCTTCCACTCTGCCACTCTTTCACTCTTGCCACTCTTTCACTTATGCCACTCTTTCACTCATGCCAATCTTTCACTCTTGCCAGTCTTTCACTCATGCCACTCTTTCACGCATGCCACTCTTTCACTCATGCCACTCTTTCACTCATGCCACTCTTTTCGCTCATGCCACTCTTTCACCCATGCCACTCTTTCACCCATGCCACTCTTTCGCTCATGCCACTCTTTCACCCATGCCACTCTTTCACCCATGCAACTCTTTCACCTATGCCACTCTTTCACCCATGCCACTCTTTCACCCATGCCACTCTTTCACCCATGCCACTCTCTTTCACCCATGCCACTCTTTCACCCATGCCACTCTTTCACCCATGCCACTCTTTCACCCGTGCCACTCTTTCACCCATGCCACTCTTTCACCCATGCCACTCTTTCACCCATGCCACTCTTTCACCCATGCCACTCTTTCACCCATGCCACTCCTTCACCCATGCCACGCGTTTTTTTCCCTCCTCTTCAGCTCTCCGTTCTCTTCGTTTTCTCTCCGTTTTCTTTGACTGTTTTACCTCAACATTCTCCCATTCTCCCCCCCTCCCCCCCTCCCCCTCCAGTCTCCATCTCGTCTCCTGCCCTCTCTAAGAACTGCCTCACGGTGGGTGCCACCCTCGGCAGCCTTGGCGCCTCCCCGTCCCTCCTCGGCACGCCCTTCAACCTCTCCATCCTCGCGCCCTCGCCCTCCCTCCTCCCCTCCGACCGCTCCTGGTACCCCCTCCTTTCCCACGCCTTTGGCACAGCCTTCCAGTCGGGGCTGTGGGAGGGGGGCGTGGCGTGGGGGCTGGCGAGGGGGGAGCCGAGGGATGGGTGTGGAGGAGTGAGGGGTGGGAGTGGGAGCCAGGGAGGGAGCGTGGCTGGGATGGTTGTGCTGCTCGACGCTGGGAACTGCCTGTTTGCTGATAAGGTGGGTATTGGTCCCTTTTCGTCCTTTCCCATGCTAAGGCAGTTAGGCTCTCCCTTGTTCTGCTCTGTGCTGTTCCCCAGAATAAACTTCACATTGTGATGGCTCTAATAATCCCTGTAACATGCATTACAAACCCTTGCAGTTGAAGAACGCGCAGGCAGCAGGCGCAGCAGCAGCAGTCATTGTGGCCAATGACACCCTGGGCTACTTCCCCATGGCTGCCCCCTTCGGTGCCGACCCCAGCATCACCATCCCAGGTGCGCCTTGCATCGACCCAAGGCTTCTCCCCTCCCCCTCTTTCTGCTCAACACATGTACATCCCATGTACGACCAACTCGTTTCTGCATCTCCACCACCTGTCAAGTTGATCGCAGCAGCCCTTCTGTTCCGCACAACCTCTTCTCACTTTCAAATCCTACCCTCCCGGTGCACTATCTTCTCTTCTCTTCTCTTCCACCCCCATGACCATGGCAGGTGGTTCTGTGCCCCAAGCAGTGGGGACTGTTTTGGACGCTGCTCTCCGGAGGGGACAGCCCGTGCAGGTGCGTGGCGTGGCTCATGTCTTCCTTTGTGGGCTTGTTGTGAAGCACCCTATAGCGCGTTGGGGTGTTGCTCTGATGTGCCTCAATCGCGTGGGTTGCATGAAAGACAGCCAGTGCATGTGCATGTGCATGTGCATGTGGGCGCAACAGCCCCTTCAGCCCCATCTTTTCATGTCTCACCTTTCGTGATGCCAGCTGGGGTTGTTCAAAACCGCTCTGTGCCTGCTCTTGTGCCTCTTTCCATTCACTCACAAACCCCCACAGCTCTCCATCACGCCCCTCCCAGGGTATCTGGCCTTCCGCGCTGCCAGCATGGCGCGCTTCTCCTCGTGGGGTCCCACTCCACGCCTTCCTCCCCCCCACCCCCCTATCCCATCCGCAGGTCTCCATCGCACCCCTCTCAGTGTCTCTGGCCTTCCGCCCTGCCAGCATGGCGCGCTTCTCCTCGTGGGGTCCCACTCCTGACGGCCGCATCAAGCCCGACATCACTGCTCCAGGTATCCATGACTTGGTTGGCCTGTTCAAGGCCCCTCAAAAGAAAAGGGAGATAACCATTTCCTCGCCCCTCCATGGGCTAATCCGTGCTCCACTTTCTGCCTTTTTCTCTGCAGGGGAGGGCATCTGGTCGGCTAAGAGCAACCGCAACCTTCGCCAGCCGTCCTGTGCTGTCACACGTGAGTGCTGGCGCTGGCTCATGGTCTGTCTGCCTTCTTTTCCTATGCTTCCTGCTGAGCCGTTCCGCCCTCGCGTCTGCCAGTGTTTCCCATCTCCTGCTGATGCTGCTCCCCCGGAGATGTCAGGCACGTCAATGGCGACGCCCATCACTGCTGCCTCTGCTGTTGATTCGTTCTGCTGCTGCAACATTCTCCCCCCCTGTCCCCCCTTGCACCTCCTTGGCTCTGCTGCTGATTCTGTTCTGCTGTTGCAACGCTCTTCTCCTCTCCTCCCCCCCCTCTCTTTCCACACCTCTCCCTTCTGCCCATGGCCTCCAGAGATGTCAGGCACCTCCATGGCGACGCCCATCACAGCAGGCTCTGCCGCCCTCCTCCGCCAGTACTTCATGGATGGCTTCTACCCCACGGGAGAAAGGGTAACCTCAACTTTAACCCTTGAATGAATGGCCTGGTGCCTGTTTTGCAAGCATATCGGCCTACAATCCGCTGTTGATATTGTCCCCATCTGACCTCTAACCTCTGAATCTGCGCTGTCTGCATCTCTCCAGGTTCCAGCCAATGGCTTTGTGCCAAGTGGCATGCTGCTGAAGGCCACGCTGATTAATGGGGCTACAGCCCTCAATGCTGCTAACGGTGGGTCCCAGACCCTCCTGACATCCTCTAGCTTTTAGTCCTTTCTCTGGGTTACTTCGAACCGCACCTCCCCCCATGAGTCAGTGCATCTGGCTTGCGGGTGCCTCAAACCACTCTCTCTCCCCTCCCTTCCTGCCCTTTTCCCTCCCCTCACACCCCCACCAGGTGACCGCTACCCAATAGACGCACCTCCCTCGATGAACCAGGGCTTTGGCCGCGTGCATCTGAGCAATGCTGTGCCCATAGCAGGTACAGCATCTTTCACTACAGTGGCGATTGAGGGGCCGGCCCTGAAGACTGGTAACGGTTACCGCATCTGCTTGCTGGCTGATCCTGGGAGGAGTGATGGAGGTGTGGGGAGTGATGATATCAAGGTCACGCTTGCCTGGTAAGTGTTTCTTTTAAACTGCTGTCACGCTGGCCGCACTTGGCTGTGTGCCAGTATTTCTCCAGCACGTTCCAAGTCAGATTCTGAGATTTGAAACAAGAGATGTTCCAGTGATTTGTAACAACACACAGGCAACACGACTTCTCCAATCCCAAACCCTAGTGGTCTAGCACCACCACCCAGTAAATCCTGATTTCACCATCAATTCGCCTTCCCCTTACTGTGGCAGGTACGACGCACCAGCAGCCCTGGTGGCCAATCAGAACGCAGCAACGCCTCTGCTGGTGAACAACCTCGACCTCTCTGTCACCTCCCCCGCGGGACACACCTTCTTTGGCAATGGGGGCGCGGCTCCCGACACCCGCAACACAGTGGAGCAGGTACCCTTTCGCCCTCATTTCTTCCACGTGCCCTCATTTCTCTCATCTGCCCTCGTTTCTCTCGTCTGCCCTCATTTCTCTCATCTGCCCTCGTTTCTCTCGTCTGCCCTCATTTCTCTCATCTGTCCTCGTTTCTCTCGTCTGCCCTCATTTCTCTCATCTGCCCTCATTTCTCTCATCTGCCCTCGTTTCTCTCGTCTGCCCTCATTTCTCTCATCTGGCCTCGTTTCTCTCGTCTGCCCTCATTTCTCTCATCTGGCCTCGTTTCTCTCGTCTGCCCTCATTTCTCTCATCTGCCCTCGTTTCTCTCGTCTGCCCTCATTTCTCTCATCTGGCCTCGTTTCTCTCGTCTGCCCTCATTTCTCTCATCTGCCCTCGTTTCTCTCGTCTGCCCTCATTTCTCTCATCTGGCCTCGTTTCTCTCATCTGCCCTCGTTTCTCTCGTCTGCCCTCATTTCTCTCATCTGTCCTCGTTTCTCTCGTCTGCCCTCATTTCTCTCATCTGCCCTCATTTCTCTCATCTGCCCTCGTTTCTCTCGTCTGCCCTCATTTCTCTCATCTGGCCTCGTTTCTCTCGTCTGCCCTCATTTCTCTCATCTGCCCTCGTTTCTCTCGTCTGCCCTCATTTCTCTCATCTGGCCTCGTTTCTCTCGTCCGCCCTCATTTCTCTCATCTGCCCTCGTTTCTCCCGTCTGCCCTCTTTTTTTCCATCTGGCTCCATGTGCCCCCAGGTGCACATCACAGCACCTCAGCTTGGAGTGTACACGGTGGACGTGAGGGCAGCGCAGGTAAACATGCCCATGCCAGGGACGGCAGCAGGTTCTACCCTAGGAAGCACACCAGTCAGCAAGGACGGGGGCCAGCGCTTTGCCATCGCTGCTAGAGGCCCGATCACTCAAGTGGACTGCCTCTGTAAGCCCTCTTTGCCCCTTCATGCCCCATCACATGTTCCTTGAAGTTCGATCCCTCAATTCCTACTCGTCTGAGTGTTTCTGTGAGCCAGCTCTTCGTTCTCTCTCAGCCTCCTGAGTCAGCCTTCTCCTCTCATGTCCCAACATAAGTCCGCCTCTTTCTTTTAACCATCTCTCCTCGCCCCCCCCGTCCGTCCAGATGTACGAGCAGACCCCCCTCCTCCACCTCTGTCCAGAAGCCCCTCTCTCTCCATCGCGCTGCTCTTCCCCGCCAGCCCATCCACTGCTGTCCTCTGCAGCCTCACTCGGACCAGCAGCACAGCGCCAGCAGCAGCAGCAGCAGCAGCAGCAGCAGCAGCCGACATGAGAAGTGGCGGATTTTCAGACACTGCTGCTGACGGATCACTGGTAGCAGACGATGGAAGGTGGCTCGGAGGAGTGGCAGAGGAGGGGGAGGGGGGGTCCGAGGGCTTCGCAGGAGTCGCAGAGGGGGCAGGAGAGGCAGGGGTAGCTAGAGGTGAGGCAGGGAAAGCAGCAGGCGCTGCAGGGGAAGCAGCAGTAGCAGCCGGAGGAGATACAGGGGATTCTAGTACCTTGGAGGTGCTAGCATGGGGCCCTTGCAGCTCACCTGTGATCTTCTCACCCCTTGACACTGGCACCTATGTGTTCTCAGCCCAACTCGTAGACGCCTCTTACACCAACACCCTCATCAGCCCCCTTTACTCCAACACCTTTGCCATCGATCTCGATGCTCCCTCCACCACACTCACCTCCTCCCACACCCCCGCGACTGCTGCAATTGCTTCCTTCTCCTTCTCCTCCCCCTCTGTTGACGTCAGCCACTTCCAATGCCAGCTCAGCGCCTCGGCCCTCTCACCTCCCCCCGCCAACCCCATCACTCCTCAGCCAATCACATTCCGCCAAACGAGCAGCATCCCCACCCGCATGTTCAAATGGCTCTTTCCCCCCTCTATAGTCACTCAGAGCGAGGAACTCCCTGCTATAAGCCCGGGAGGACAAGCCCCTCGATTGGATATCACCCAGGGAGCCGCCACCTGGTCTAATTGCTCTAGCCCGGTCTCTTACACTGGGTTCTATGACGGCCGCTATTCCTTCTCCGTGCGGGCAGTTGACCTGGCTGGGAATGCGGATCCTACCCCCCCTATGGTCACATGGACGCTCGATACAGTCTTACCGAAAGCAGTGATTCTTGAGGCGCCGCCGGTGTATTCGAACCAGCGGAGTGTTCAGCTCGTGTTTGGTCTTGATGGGGATGCGGCGTCTGTGCAGGAAAGGGGCATGCAGACGGGCGGCGTCGGTGATGCAACTAGTGCTGCTGCACAATATGGGTATTCTTCAGCAGACGCACCAGAACTGGGAGGAGCACAGCTGTCACAGCAGTCACAGCAGTCACAGCAGTCACCGCAGTCGCAGGGGCCAGCGGAGTGGAGCTGCAGACTGCAGGCGTGGAGTGGGGCCACGTCCCCGCCTCCTCTCTTTGACTGGAGCAGATGCAGCAGCCCCTTCCAGGTGGGGGGGGTTAGCAGCAGTAACAGCAGCGGCAGTAACAGCAGTAACAGTACTAGCAGTAACGACAATAGCAGTAACAGCAGCAGCAGCAGCAGCAGCAGTGGATTTTTTCTATCTGCCCCACTGTCAGACGGAACGTACCTCTTCAGTGTGCGTGCCACGTCAGCATGGAACCGCAACGGGCTCAACAACGCGTCGGCCAGAGCAGCGTTCACTGTCGACTCCGCCCGCCCCCGCGTGCTCCTCCTCTCCCACCCGCCCTGCGTCCTCACTCGCCCCCAAGCCGTCTTCTCCTTCTTTGCTCCCAAAATGGTCACTTTTACCTGCCTGCTCACCGCCTCCCCTCCCCTCCCACCCTCTTACCCCCTCCCCTCCTCGTCTTCACTCGCCTCCTCCCCCTCCTCTCCCTCGTCCTCTCCCCTCTCCTCCACCACCTCCCTCTCACCATGTGTCGCCCCCCTGCGCTACGACCTGCCAGATGGCAAGTACACGTGGCAGCTGTCAGGCGTTGACTGGGCGGGCAACAAAGCCAGAACGAAAGTTGTGAGGTTCGCAATTGACCGCAGCCCCCCAACAGCCCGAATCCTCTCACTCTCTGTCGTTCCCCATGCTAACTCTACCACCAATAATTTATCCTCCCCCCAGCCAACCACCCCCCCTCCCTCTGCTACGTTACTTGCCACCTTCACTGGTTCAGATGGCCAATATGGCTCTGGGGTCTCGGGATTCCTCTGCCATGTGGCGCTGTCTGATTCGCCAGAGCCATACCCTCTCGTTCCAGGAGCCTGGGCGCCGTGCTCCAGTCCGTTGAAAGCACCTGGGCTTTCGCCTGGGCGCTACAGGGTGCTGGTTGTGGCACGAGACTGGGGGGGCATGGTTAGCACGAGGCCTGCTGTAGGCACTTTCACTGTGCTGCCGCCACTGGCGGTGGTGAAAGGTGTGCAGGGAGAGAGAGGAGAGGAAAGCCGAGCAGATACTGCTGAATTGGGTGCTGGTGGTGATATACTTGTATTAGAGCCTGCTGCTGCTGCTGCTGCTGCCGCCGCTGCTGATGTTCCAGCAGTGTCGTTCGTGGGCCCCTTCCCAGCAGCATACAGCAGCGATAACTCAACCAAACTCCACTTTGTCACCTTGCACAATAACAAGACATCCTCTAACGAGGACAGATCCGATACATCAGACGGAGCAGCAGCACCTTCTGAGGGCGCTCTTGTATCCATTCCCCCTCAACCGTCTACTCCTCTCCAGTCACCTCCCCCCTTCCTCGCATGGCCGTGCAGCAGCCCTGTCCTCCTGCCCTCACTCCCAGACGGCCAGCACCAGCTATTCGTGCGGCCTGTGGGAGCACTGAGCAGTGTGGGGGCATGGGCATGCTTCTCCTGGACTGTTGGTGCGTACCCTTGCTGTGTTTGCCGTGTCTAAGGCCCTTATGTATGTCTGCAAAAACAATGTTCCTGGCCCTCTCCCCATGTTCTTCTGTTTCCATCACCCCATAACTCCTCCTCTGTATGCCTCCCTCCCTCCGCCCCTCCCTCGCCCCACACCTCCCCGTTCCCACTTCCCCCGTCCTTCAGACACCACCCCACCCTCCACCTCCATTTCCTGGGCCAATCACAGCGTGCCAGGTGTCGCCTCCTCACTGAGTCCCACAGTGCGGGTGTTGGGTAGGGAAGAGGCGAGGGGGAGTGGGGTGGTGCGGCTGGAGTGTAGACTGGAGTCAATGATGGGGGTAGAGGGGGCTGAAGTGGGTGCGGGCACCAATGGAAGCACTTTCACGTGGCAGCCTTGCGTTGGCTCATTCCCAGCCGCTCCCGACACACCACCAACCAATCAGAGCACTGACAGCTCTACCCTCCCTCCCTGGCCGCCCTCCCCCTCTCAACTCACAGCTGACGTCACCCTCGCCTCTCTCCTCCCCTCTCTACCTGTCGACCCCTCCCCCTCATTCCCCACTCAACCGCCACTCCTAAACCCTCTTCGCGACGCCACTCTCCCGGACGGAGTGTATGCCTTCAGCGCACGGGCAGTGGATGCATCAGGCAATGCGGACCCCCATCCGCCCTCTGTGCAGTTTGTGGTCAATGCTTGGGCGCTGGCTCTTGCTGGGATAGAGCAAGGGGAGGAGGCAGAGAGTGAGGGTGACAGTGGGGATATTGCGGAGATTCTTGATGCTCCTGAGGGCGGAAGTGGTGGTGGTACAGCTGATGCGGCATCGGATTCTGCCGAAGCTCCCTCCGTCCTGCTCTCTCGTGCCTTCCCAGTGGTCGTCATTGCGTGTGACGGCCGCTGCACCGCCATGCTGCCATCTCGGTTGCTCCCTGGGAGTCCTCAACAGTCAGGAAAACCAACTCTTTCCAGCTCACTGTCCCGGGCATCAGCACAGGCGCCAGCACCAGCATTTTCCCTACTCCCGTCCGCATCGTCATCCCCATCATCTCCCTCTGCCGCTCTAGAGTCCCTCATGGCACCCAGTGCTTCCAGCAGCGAGGGCTTCAGGGTGGTGGTCGGGGGAGGAGAAGGGGGGTCGGGAGCCCTGGAGGGGGGTGTGGCAGCTGCGCACAGCCCAGCAGCACACAGCACAGAAGCAGACAAGGCAGACGAGACTCCTCTGGTGTTCCGAGTGATCTCTGATGTGGTCTCCTTCGCCTTCCCGCCTGCTTTACCGCCACTTGACGCTCATCCTCCCCCTCCCGCTGGCTTGGAAACGGGGCTTGACTCCCAGCGGCTGGATGCCCTGGGGTGTCCTCTGCTCATGCTGCGATTCACCATGCCAGCACCTTGCGAAGCTAACAGCGGCAGCACGCCTTGTGGCAGCATGCAATTGCCGGGAGCTGAACCCGCCTCGACAGCAGGATCAACACTAGTAGAAGCAGCAGCACCCATCGCAGAAGGTTTAGCAGCGTTGGTACCATCCCCAGAAGCAGCAGCAGCAGCAGCAGCAGCAGCGGCAGCAGGATCAATGCCACCAGCGGCAGCACCAGCACCAGCAGCACCAGCAGCATCGACATCAACATCACCACCAGAAGCACTCCTAGCATCAGCCTGCATTGTCTTTCAGGCCTTCTCTCTGCAGGAGGTTCTCTCCTCCGCCATGAATGCCTCTCTCCCTGCACCCGATACCATCAGCATCCTCTTCCACCCTCACACCACACCCACATCCCCACCATCCGCACCATCCGCACCATCCCCACCATCCGCACCATCATCATCCCAAGCATCCCTACCATCATCATCCCAAGCATCCCTACCATCATCATCCCCATCCCCATCATCAGGCACACCACCACTCCCACCATCCTCACCTCTCCAGCCGCATCGCTACCCCCCGGTGGGCGGCTGGCAGGTGCTGGACTCCACTCTGCTCTGGCAGCAGGGCGGCCTTGCCACCTTCACTGCCCTCCGCCCTGGGCTCTACACTGTAGCCATCAGAGAACGCAGTGAGTGCCCCCCTGCACCACTTCATCACGAAACAAGCCTCCTTCTCTGCTCTTCTCTCTGGGCCGTGCACTGTAGCCATCACAAAGGCAAATGAGTGCTCCCATCATCACCTCATCTTGAATCCAGACTGTTGCACGACCTGTCCCATTTAAGTTTACTTAAAACCTCACTCTGCCGCCCGATCTCTCCCACAAGCCTCGCGCTGTCCAGCTTGCCATGGTATCCTAAACCTGAACATCTCCTCCCCTCTCTCTCCCCCAACCCCCCCTCCCTCCCCTTCTGCTGGACGTGTGACTGGTATGCTCTGGACTGGAGTGCTTGCGACTGACACAGGCAACCAACCGCTGTCAACTACTCTCAGCCATCCCCCTCCAGCTGCAGACACAACCCCCCCCCCTGCATCCGGCAAGGCTTGGGTGATTGCCCTCGTAGTCTCGCTTGGTGTGGGTGCACTTGTGGTCGTGGTGGGGCTAGCTGTATTCTTTGTCAGGGTGAAAAGCCGGGGCAGAGCAAAGGTCTCACCGCACCTGCGCAAGTGAGGACGAGTTTCTCCAAGTCCCCCCCTGCGTCCAGAAAGGCGTGGGTGATTGCTCTCACAGTCTGGCTTGGCATGGGTGTGATCGTGGTTAGGGGACGGGCCAAGGCAAAGGTAGTATCACCGCAGCTGCGCAATAATCACAAGCGGGAACAGAAATGATCATAATCATCATGATTATGATACGATTATGTAGGCTTCTGGGGCTGCATGGGAATGGGCATGACTGGTTCCTTCCCCGGCTGCTTCCTGTGAGGCCCTAGGAGATTGCTCCTACCATGCCCCGTCTTGGCATTGGTGAAGCTCTGCTGCACTGGTTGCTGTGCTGTCTTGCAGCACTGGGTGAGCTTCTCGGCTAGGGTATGAAAAGTACCCAAGTTATTGGTGTCCCTTATAACAAACAGTGAAATTGATGAATAGAGAGAGAGAGTACACAAACATATACCTAACTGTTGTACTCTCTAGAAGATGACCCTATACAGTCTATACAAGCATGATAACTAAACATGTTTGACACACCCCCTGGACTGCATAGGGGAATGTTCTAGACAAGCAGCTCAGGGTGGCACTACTAGTCCAGCCTCTGAGACAAGGGTCTAAAAGACCAGTCAGAAGGAGTACAGGCAAGGCAAGAACTAGTACAGGGCGGCACTACTAGTCCAACCACTGTAATAGGACACAAGTCCAGTCTGAGTGTACACACAGATATATAGGACAGTACAGAGTCAAGGCCCGAGTAAGTGAGAGACTACAGGAACCAGACCAAGCTGCACACAGTGCCGCTGATGATCTTTAGGCGCAAGCGCCTTCGTAAAGATATCAGCTGTGTTGGCACCGGAGGCTAAGTGTACTACGCGAGCCTGGCGACGCTGCTGTAGCTCACGCAGGAGGAAGTACCGCAGCTGGATGTGCTTCGCTCTGCCCTCGAGTCGAGGCTCCTGACACAGGAGGATCATGGCCCTGTTGTCAGCGTACAGGACCGGGGCAGAGCTAGGCCGCTCACCTAAGTCAGTGAGCAAGAAGGTCAGCCAGCGGAGCTCCTGTGCCGCCATGGCACCGGCGTAGATCTCGGCCTCACAGCTGGACTGGGCAACAGACGAAGAGCGGGTAGCTCTCCACGAGACAGCACCTGAACCAAGGCTAAAGCAGTAGCCCTGGGAAGACCTGAGCGTCTCGGCGTCGTCTGCCCAAGAAGCGTCTGTGTGTCCAGTAAGGACCACTGGCCTGCGTCCGCCTAGCACTAACCCCATGCCCGATGTACTTGCAAGATAACGCAAAACCCTCTTAGCGGCAGACCAGTGCTGAGGTCGGTGCCTGCCTGTGGCCACGAAACGAGCCAGGATGCTGAGAGGGTATGCGAGATCTGGGCGAGTGCAAGTCATCAGGTACATGAGGCAACCCACTAGCTCAGCGTAAGGACCACTGGGATCTACCGACTCCTCAGGAACTGGAGCGGAGAGTCTGTGGTCCAGAGGAAGAGGGGTGGGCTGTGCGGAGGAGAACTGAAGGCCGAACCTCTGAAGGACCTGGCGCACCAAGTGTGACTGAGTCAGGGTGATGGTGCGCGCGGCTCTGTCCCTGGAGATCTGCAAGCCAAGGTAACGGCGCAGCTCTCCAAGGTCAGTGCAGGTGTGTCTCTTCAGCAGCTCTGCCTTCACGGAGGCCAGTGCGTCCCTGTCAGCAGTGGCAAAGACCAGGTCGTCTACGTAGACGAGGATGTAGAACGGAGTCGAGCCAGCACGAACGAAGAGCGAGGGGTCTGCAGAGGACGGAAAGGACTGCAGGTCAGCAAGGGTAGCACGCAAAGTGTCGTGCCACTCACGAGGCGCCTGGCGCAGGCCGTAGACTGGCCGCCGCAGAAGCCACTGGGTCCCAGGGGGGAAGGTGCCAGTAAAGCCCTGAGGGCGACGCAGGTAGACCTGCTCGTGAAGGCTGCCCTGAAGAAAGGCAGTGGAGAAGTCGAGGGAGTGAAGCTCGTAGTCACGCTGAGCCGCTACGTGTAGCAGCACCCGAAGAGTAGTCATCTTCGGGGTAGGAGCGAAAGTCTGAAAGAAGTCCACCCCCTCGCGCTGACTGAAGCCTCTAGCCACGTAGCGCGCCTTGAACACAGGCGGCTCTCCAGGAGGGCGCTTCACCTTGAAGAGCCAACGGCCATCGACCACGTTCACCCCAGGTGGGGGAACTGCGTCGACGAAGGTGCCGGTGGATCTCCAAGATGCCATCTCCTGCTCCATGGCAGCTATCCACTGAGAGGCCCAGGGTCCCGAAACCGCCTCAGCGTAAGTACGAGGGGTCGGGATGTCGAAAGCGTCTGGGTCACCCTCAGGGACTAGCAGCATGGAACAGAGATGGGGAGCAGCCTCGGACAGGAAAGCAAGCTCAAACTGGCGGTCCTCCAGGACGTCACTGCCGAGGGCAGGAGCACCCCCGACAGACGGAGGACAGGCAGGGTGAGAGACCAGAGCGGTGGCGTAGTCAAGGCGGCGGGTAGAGGCGAAGTCAGCGACCGCAGCGACGAGGGCGTCAAGACTCGACACGGGAACAGACGGGTCTGTAACCAGAGAGGCAAGGACCCGAGGAACAAGAGGACGAGCGGCACGGAAGTAGTCAGACAGAGGAGGAGACGCAACGACAAGAGAGGACGGAGGAGGAGACGGGAGGAGGGGAGGACGAGACACGTGGGACCGGAGCAACATAGGGTGAGAGCGCGGGACGGGGGAGACAGGACGAGCACGGGAGGGGCGGCGAGACCAGACGTGAGAGGGAGGCGTCGGGTCAGGAGACAGAGGAGGGGACACGGGTGGGGAACGAGGGGGAAAACGAGCCGGGGACGAGTCCGGCGGAGGGAACACGGGGCCGTAGACGGGAAGAGGAGGAGACGGCAGGTGAGGAACAGGCGCAGGGTCAGGGGACGGAAGGCCGAGCAGACGGAGGGCGGACACCGACGGGGACTGCTGCTGCGGCGACACAACACCAATGCCAGGGCCACAAGCTGCGCGACTGCTACCTCCCGAACCCTCCACACCGGCACCCCCAGAAGGGACACCCCCAGAGCACGAAACCCCGCCAGCACCGGTACCACCCCCAGGCCCGCCGGGACAAGCCACGACAGGAGCCCCGGGACTAGTACCCACCTCAACGCCAGCACCCCCAGAGTCCACAAACAGCGGCAGCGACGACTGCGGCGGCGGCGGCGGCGGCTGCAGCGACGGCCGCGACGGCGGTGGCGGCGGAGACGACGGCTGCAACGGCGGCGGCGGTGGAGACGACGGCTGCAGCAGCTGCGGCGACGGCGGCTGCGGAGGCGGTGGAGGAGGAGACACCGGGGGAGGGACAGACGGCGAGGACTGCGCCGGAGGACTACCAGAGTCAGAAGACTCGTCGACCGGGACGACTGACGGGAGGGGGGTACTGTACCGCTCGCCAGGGCTATGGAGCGGTGACGAGTCTCTATGGCAGTCAGGGTGTCAACAAAGTCGGTGAGGGTGAGAGCAGCAGGGTGGATGCTAAGGAACTGGTCGCGGGCGGCGGCAAGGCGGTCAGGTAGGCGGGTGGCAAGGAGGTAGAGGGTAGAGGTCATGGGAGGCTGGTGGACTCTAAGCTGAGCATCAGTGCAGGCAGCGCGCCAGGCCTCATCTATCGAGCGCAGGTGGGCAGCGAGGTCAGAGACAGTGGGGAAAGACGCCAGGTCAGGAAAGAGCAGGGGAAGGATCAGGCGACCCACTGAGGCAGCAGGAGGGGTAGAATAGCGCTTGATGACAGCATCGAGGTAGGCCTGGGCGGTAGGAATGGTTCTAAAGCGAGGGCGCTCAGTGGGGGGGAGGGCATTGCTAATGGCGAGCTGAGCAAGGGCATCGCGGGAAAGCCAGACAGAGCGGGCAAGGGCAGCAGCGGCAGTGGACTCGCGCTCAGCGGGCGTGGGATCAGCGGGCAGCACAGCAGGGGGGTCAGGGCAGGGGAGCATACCGTCTAGGTGTGCAGAAAGCGGGTGGCCGTCCTGCCGCTGGCCAGTGAGGTGGCGGCGAAGGTCAGCCAACCACGCCTCGAACTCCAGAGGCTGACCCTCAACATCAAAACGAAGCTCAGCAGCCATGAGGGGCAGTGGAGGACAGTGCAGTGCGGTGCAGTGCGATGCAGTGCGGTGCAGTGCGGTCCAGTGCGGTGCAGTGCGATGCAGTGCGGTGCAGTGCGGTCCAGTGCGGTGCAGTGCGGTCAGTGCGATCCAGTGAGGTGCAATGCGATGCAAGGCGGGGCAGGAAAGTGCAGGAGGGTGCAAAGTGGTGCGGGGAACGGGGGACAGTACCAGGAAGTATGGAGGGCCGGGGCAGGTGCGTCGGGGCCGGGCAGGCACGACAAGGCCGGGCGGCGGCGACGGGGCCGGGCGGCTGCGACGGGGCCGGGCGGCGGCGACGGGGCCGGGCGGCAGCGACAAGGCCGGGCGGCTGCGACGTGGCCGGGCGGCTGCGACGGGGCCGGGCGGCTGCGACGGGGCCGGGCGGCAGGGACGAGGCCGGGCCGGACACAGCAGGGCCGGGCAGGGGCGACGGGGCCGGGCGGCTGCGACGTGGCCGGGCGGCTGCGACGTGGCCGGGCGGCTGCGACGTGGCCGGGCGGCTGCGACGTGGTCGGGCGGCTGCGACGGGGCCGGGCGGCTGCGACGGGGCCGGGCGGCGGCGACGGGGCCGGGCGGCAGGGACGGGGCCCGGGCAGGCCACAGCAGGGCCGGGCAGGGGCGACGGGGCCGGGCGGGCGAGCAGGGGCCGGGCAGGTGCGACAGGGGCCGGGCAGCCGCGACAGGGGCCGGGCGGGCGCCACGCGGCCGATAGGCCGCGACGGGGCCGAGCAGGGGCGACGGGGCCGAGCAGGGGCGACGGGGATGGGTAGGGGCGCGACGGGGCCTGAAGGGGCGTTACCAAGCCCAGGTAGGGGCGCGACGGGGCCTGGGGGGAGCGCAATGGGGCCCAGGAGGGGCGCTACGGGGCCTGGGAGGAGCGCGACGGGGCTAGGGAGGGGCGCGACGGGGCCTGGGAGGAGCGCAATGGGGCCCAGGAGGGGCGCTACGGGGCCTGGGAGGAGCGCGACGGGGCCCTGGAGGGGCGCTACCAGGCCCTGGAAGGGGCGCGACGGGGCCTGGAGGGGCGCTACGAAGCCCTGAAAGGGGCGCGACGGGGCCGGGAGGGGCGCTACGAAGCCCTGGAAGGGGCGCGACGGGGCCTGGGAGGAGCGCAATGGGGCCCAGGAGGGGCGCTACGAGGCCTGGGAGGAGCGCGACGGGGCCCAGAAAGGGGCGCAACGGGGCCCAGGAAGGGGCGCGACGGGGCTAGGGAGGGTCGCGACGGGGCTAGGGAGGGTCGCGACGGGGCTAGGAGCACGACGGGGCCCAGCCAGGGGGCGAGCGGAAGCGTGAGGGGGGGGGGGGGGGGGGATCCTACCTACGCGTGATACCATAACAAACAGTGAAATTGATGAATAGAGAGAGAGAGTACACAAACATATACCTAACTGTTGTACTCTCTAGAAGATGACCCTATACAGTCTATACAAGCATGATAACTAAACATGTTTGACACCTTATGGCTAGGGTGTGGCGCAGTTTGTGTGTTGGTAGGCGCGCTTGAAAGTTCCCCGGGGGACAGTGCTTGGCCATGTAGCTGGGCCTCGTCTTGAACTGTGCATTCATATGTATCAGGCAGTCTTTTCGGTTACCGTACACTACATCTGACGTTGGTACAGTCAAGGGTTGCTTCTGCTTCTTCTTATCTTCATTGTGGCTGGTTATCCATCGAGCTAGTGTGGAAGAAAGGTGCAATGTTTCACTTCTCATCATAGGTATTGTGGAACAGTAAACCACCGCTTCACTTATTCCTCTTTCTGTTGCAGCATTGTATACTCAGAGCAAGTAAAGAAGAATCAAACCCAATCCAGTATCCCCAGCATGTCAGCCTCCGACTGCTCCCTTGTATGGTACCTTTCCTGACCAGGCACAGAAAGAGCAGAAAGAGAGGACCCGTGGCACTGGCAGCATGTAGGGGAGAAGTCTGCTTGCGCATGAGGAGATAGCAAGAGAGTCTGGAGTCTGGACAAACTGCGAAAGTGAAAGATGGGCGGAGGAAGGAATTTAAGAGTGCACATATATACATATATATCTTTATACAACTTGCCTTGTGCGCGTGTGTGTTACACGTTGTTGTCTGCCCCAACCTCAACCTCCACCTGCTCCATCTCTGCTTCCTCCCCTTTCTCCTTCCGCTTCTTCTCTTTCTTCTCCCTCTTCTCCTTCTTTTCCTTCTTCCCTTTTTTGATCTTCTTGCCCTCCTCACCCTCCTTTCCCTTCCCTTCATCAACGCTCTCCTCCCCCCCACTCACATCCTCACCACCCCAGCTCCCCCTTACCTCCCCCTTCACCTCCCCATCCTCCTGCAAATTCCCAGCCTCTCCCGCCGCCGCCCCTGCAACTTCCCCCATCTCCTCCCCAATAACCTCCGCCACCCCCTCTCCCATCCCCTCTCCGCCTCCCCTCCCAAACTCCCCCTCCTCCTCCCCAACCTCGAACTCCCCAGCCTTGGGCTCAGGCTCGGGAATATCCACCACCACCACTCCGCCCTCCTTCACTAGTTCTTCATGAATAGCAAACAGCCGCTCTGCAACCTTATCCATAGCGGGTCTCTTCTTAGCGGGGAAAAGCTGGCAGTCCAGCGCCACCTGCAGCACTTTCTGGATGACGTCAGCAGCGTAGGCGTGGCCGAGCCTCGGATCTACGATGCTCTCGATGCTGCTCTCTCCTCCGGCCCTAAGGCGCCGCGCAACCCACGTGCCTAGGTCCAGCTTCGCGGTTGCTTCGCCAGGCTCGTTCTCAATCACGGCTGGGCGGCCAGTGAAGATCTGCAGGAGGATAACGCCAAAAGCGTACACGTCATTGGGCGGCGACGATTTTCCCGTAACGTGGAACGTGGGGTCGATGTAACCAGGCAGAGCGAGGGTCGGCCCGTGTTGTAAACCTCCCAGCATGCTCGAGCCGCCAGTGATGTCCCGGGTCATCAACACTTTCATCTGCCCGACGTTGCCGACCTTGGGCATACCACTCGTGTCAAAAAGAATGTTCCTCGGATGCAGCCCCTCGTGTAAATACGGCCTAGGGAACTCCGTGTGCATGTACGCGACAGCGTCGGCAATATCGACGGCGATCAGCAGCCGGTGCAGGAAATCGAACGGTATCCCTTCCTCCTCGCCTTCCGAGGCAACCCCAAGGTCCCTGCGCGCACGGGCGTTCCGAGAATCGTGGCGCCAAAAGGTGATCTTCTCCCGCCACTCGTCGGTATTCCCTAGAATCATCGACTCCAGGCTCGGCCCGTCCACGTACTCGTATATAAGCACCCTCTCGCCGCCCTCGATACAGTAACCCAGCAGTTGAATCACATTTTGATGGCACAGCACGGCCATAGACTTCGCGCCTTCTTCGAAATCCGCGACTAGCTCTGCGTAAGCCGCCCGATTCGCAGGGCGAAACGTCAGGATGTCGTCATCATCCCCTCCCCCGGGCCGCCATAGCGACCGCTTCACCGCCCACCGCGCTCCGCTGGGTCCGGCGCCTCGGTACACCTCGGACGTGCTTCCTTTCCCTAATAATAGCTTCTTATGGAAGTTTCTTGTGGCGCGAGTTAATTGTAGCAGGTCGAATTGCTGGAACGACATGCTCCGCTGCTGCGCCTTTTTTTTCCGCGCCACATCTTTGAAGCCGGGCGCGCGCAGCACCTTGCGCCAAAACGCCGCGCCAGCGTGCGGAGACGCCTTCAGCGCTCCTTGCGCGGCACTGCCGCCGCCGCCGGACACGCGGAGCCCTTCCGGGCCGGATGCGGCTCCCGCGAAGTTAGTGCCGTAGCTGTTGGACGGGATGGAAATCCCCGTCGCGCCTCCCGCGGCGGCATCGGCGGCGTAGGGCGTGGCGGAAGAGCCGCCGCCAGTGCTTCCGTACGCGACGCCGAGGCTGTTCGACTTACTCGCCTTCGCGCCGCCGCCATCAACCGCGTCGTCGGTGGCGACGCGCGCGCCGTCGCGTCGGTGGCGCCGCCAGCAGCAGCCGCTGCAGCACAAGACGTTGTAGCAGCAGCGGGAGCAGCTGATGCAGTGTTTGCCGGACTTGTAGCAGCGGCGGCAGACGCAGAGGAGAGCGACGAGGATTATCGCGGCGACCACGGCGACTGCGATTATTGCCCATAGGGGAATCTCCTTTCCCAATATCTCCATCTTCCCACGCGCCTCTTGCTGACTCGACGCGGGGCGACGACGGGAACCCTTGCGTTGGTAAAAGATGGCCTAAAAGAAAGAAAAGGTGAGAAAAAACCGTGAATAGAACCGACTAATCTACTACCACAATAGAGCCGTCAACGCGCGGCCAGTGGCCGACTGACTGATCAATGTGCGACGAGATTCGGCGTCTTGATTGCCACCGGGCCGGAACTTCCTTTGAGGCGCCTCAGAAACAGCTTCTAGATTACCACCGTGCCAGCGCTACGCAAACCCATCATGACGGAAACGCGGGAACCAGCCGTGATAGGGACGGGAAACGCGGCGCCACTCCCTTTTAAAGTTCGCACAGGAGCTAAAAGAGAAGAAAATAGTTTAGACGGATGTGGCGTGGAGTTGGCTCGAGTGATAATGCCAGGTCACGACGGTCCTCTGCCCCTCCGCCCAGCAGTAGTAGCTGGTCCGAGCATTGTTGATGAGTCCTAGTCTGCCTAGTTGTTGCCCCTACCGTGTGGAATGTGGGTTTGGGGGAATGAAAGAATGCCAGGCAGTGAGTGCGACGTTGCTCACTCGATTCAAATCCGTGTGCCACAATTATTGGGGCGTGCTTGAGACGGAATTGCCGAGTCGCGTATGCATTAGTCATCCGCGGCTCGACGAACGTCGTACGGTATGTTTCTAGCTTGGGGAAAGGCCACCTTTGGGTGTGCAAAATTATTGGCAACCATGATCCGTTATAAGATACTATTTGACTTGACAAATACAGCGATCTTAAGAAGGCTGGAACAAACGACAATATTAGACTCGTTAGAGGCAAATTCAAACGTTAAAAAAGGGCAACCACATTGATTGTGGCAACTACATCCGATAAAGTACACACTGATATTTGCAGTGCATAAATACGAGCAATTGGACTAAATTATAGAACATACTAAAGCCATTTTTCCTTCAGCAAGCTCTCTGCCTGGTTGTCAGGCAGAAGGAACCATTGTGTTGATAACGGACGGTAAGGATGAGGGGGGGAGAGAGAGCAGACGGTGGCTGAACGAGACTGGGTCAAAGGACATGGGAGGCAAATAGGAGCAGCAAGGTGAGCGAGAGCGGAGCGGGGGGGGTGTGTAGACAGAGGGGGGAGGTGAATAGGGAGAGGGGGAGGTGTGAAGGAGAGGGCTACGTACCGTGTGAGGGGAGAGGGAACATGAGAAGCGACAGGGAAAAGTTTGAGGGGAGAAGGGAAGGTGAGGAGAGAATGGGAAGTGAGACAGGAGAGGGGGAAGTGTGAGGGGAGATGACGATGATGATAGGACGAGAAGGGATACAGTAAGGTTAGTGCACAGCACAGAGCATGATAACAAACGTGAAGTAACCAGCACATGGGAGGGAGTACAGTGCAGGACTATAAGGAGATGAGTGATGAGGCGTGGGGAATGATGAGGATGTCCACGCCCGACAGCCGACGCCCGACGGCCAACGACCGACAGCCGACAGCCGACGCCCGACGACCGACACCCGACAGCCGACGCCCGACAGGCGACGCCCGACGCCCGACAGCCGACAGCAGACGGCCGACAGCCGACGCCCGACGGCCCATGCCCGACAGCCGACACAGGACAGCTGGCGCCAGACAGCCCAACAGCCGACGCCCGACGGCCGACGACCGACGGCCGATGCCGGACAGCCGACGCCGGACAGCCGACAACCGACAGCCGACGACCGGCAGCCGACGCCCGACAGCCGACATCGGACAGCCGACGCCCGTCAGCCGACGGCCGACAGCCGAAACCGACAACCGACAGCCGACGCCCGACAGCCGACGCCCAACAGCCGACGACCGACAGCCAACGCCCGACAGCTGACAGCCGATGCCCGAAAGCCGACGCCCAACAGCCGACGCCCAACAGCCGACGCCCAACAACCGACGCCGGTCAACCGACAGCCGACTCACGACAGCCAATGCCCGACAGCCGACGCCCTACAGCCGACAACCGACAGCCGATGCCCGACAGCCGACGCTGCACCCACGCACTCAGCTGCACCAAACCTGCTGCACCTGTGGGGTGAGGGGGGGGGGGGTGGGGGGGGAGGATGTGAGGGAGGGCTGCGAGGGGGGTGGAGAATGTGAAGGAGGGATGTGAGGGGGGGATGTGAGGGGGGGATGTGAGGGGGGGATGTGAGGGGGGATGGAGAATGTGAGGGAGGGGAGTGAGGAGGTAATGTTTGGGGGGTAAAGGGGGGGATGGTAGGGGGCCAGAAAAGGGGAGCATGAGGGGAACCGAATGAGGAAGACAATGAGGGGTGATGAGGGGTGACGAGGGGTGATGAGGAGTGATGAGCGGTGATGAGGGGTGACGGAAGCGTGGAAAACAAGAGGGAAACTGTACAGTTGCTACACTTTCCTAAGGTTCTCCAAATACAGTATAAAGAAGCATGTTACCTGGAGCGTGCCTCTAGCTGCCTCCACCTTCTGCTTCACTGAAACCACCTTGTGAGTGCGCGTGAGTGCACGTCTTGCTTGCTGCAGTGCCTGCAGCTCACCCGCACAGCAAGAGTTCCCATGTGAGATGCCTCGAAAATAGACTCCGCACAGCAAGAGTTCCCATGTGCGCATACCTGGAGCGAGTCCCTGGCGGCCTCCACCTGCTGCTTCACTGGATCCACCTTCGCCAGTACCAACCCTGATGCCGCTGACGTGGCCTCCACCTGATCCAGCTCAGCACAAGGGAAGACACACACACACGTTCACATACCTTCGCATGGACGTAGATACATGCAAAGCCACATTCATGCACATCCGTCAAGAAGCACACGCACATACACATGCACATGCACACGCACACGCACATGCACATGCACATGCACATGCACATGCACATGCACACGTACACGCACATGCACATGCACATGCACATGAATATGCACATGCACACGCACACGCACATGCACATGCACATGCACATGCACATGCACACGCACATGCACATGCACAGGCACAGGCACATGCACAGACACAGGCACAGGCACATGCAGAGGCACAAGCACAGGCACATGCACATGCAAACGCACAGGAACATGCTATGTGACCGCAAACGCTCTGGCAGGGCAGCGTTTAGCGTTTAAACGCTGCGTTTAAACGCTAAACGCAAAACGCTCGCGTAAACGCTAAACGCTCGGGCAAAATTTTAGGGGCAGCCCGGCCAAAAAATCGATCAATTTTTTTCCGTGACATTGCGACTTGGCGAGTTCAACCAGACATTTGCCAAGTCGCAAATCCCAACCTAACGACCAAAAAAGGCATCCAACCCTTTTGCCCCTCTCAACCGCACAGCACCCTGTTCATCAACGACTTTCACTCCAACCTAACCACTTTCTCCCCTCCTTCCGTCACAATCTCTTCCCCGTAAAAAATGGGAACCCTAGAGTTCCGCGCGCCATAGCCGTAGCTCAGATCCAGTCCCTATTCTCTCACCTCCCACCCTGGCCACCTAATTCCGCGCTAAGATAAGGGCCCACGCCCATGTCGACCCCCCCTAATGCTGCAGACGCTAATCCTACAGCGTCTGCAGCATCTAATATTTACGAGCCAGACTAATCACGATATTGGAGTAAATATGTTGTATACCATAATCCCCTTTCCTCCCCCCACCGATCCCAGGTTTTTTTCCCCTGCCCGGGGGAAATTTTATGGCTGCCCGAACGAGCGTTTATCCTAGCGTTTAGAAACCCAAGAAGGCGCGTTTAGCGTTTAAACGCTAGCGTTTAAACGCTTCGTTTAAAACGCTAAACGCGTTTGCGGTCACGTAGGGAACATGCACACGCACATGCACATGCACATGCACATGCACATGCACAGGCACATGCACAGGCACATGCACATGCACATGCACATGCACATGCACATGCACATGCACATCCACATGCACAGGCACATGCACAGGCACAGGCACAGGCACATGCACATGCACATGCAAACGCACAGGCACATGCACAGGCACATGCACATGCACATGCACATGCACATCCACATGCACAGGCACATGCACAGGCACAGGCACAGGCACATGCACATGCACATGCAAACGCACAGGCACATGCACATGCACACGCATACGCACATGCACACGCACATGCACACCCACATGCACAGGCACAGGCACATGCACACGCACATGCACATGCACATGCACATGCACAGGCACATGCACATGCACATGCACAGGCACATGCACAGGCACAGGCACAGGCACAGGCACATGCACACGCACATGCACAGGCACATGCACTGAACATGCACATGCACATGCACATGCACAGGCACAAGCACAGGCACATGCACATGCGAACGCACAGGCACATGCACATGCACACGCACACGCACATGCACATGCACACGCACACGCACATGCACATGCACATGCACAGGCACAGGCACATGCACATGCACATGCACACGCACATGCACATGCACATGCACATGCACAAGCACATGCACAGGCACATGCACAGGCACAGGCACATGCACAGGCACATGCACATGCACATGCACATGCACATGCACATGCACACGCACACGCACATGCACATGCACACGCACATGCACATGCACAGGCACAGGCACATGGCACAGGCACATGCACAGGCACAAGCACAGGCACATGCACAGGCACATGCACATGCAAACGAACAGGAACATGCACACGCACAGGCACATGCACACGCACATGCACATGCACATGCACATGCACAGGCACAGGCACATGCACACGCACATGCACATGCACAGGCACATGCACATGCACATGCACATGCACAGGCACATGCACATGCACATGCACATGCACATGCACATGCACATCCACATGCACAGGCACATGCACAGGCACAGGCACAGGCACATGCACATGCACATGCAAACGCACAGGCACATGCACATGCACACGCACATGCACAGGCACATGCACATGCACATGCACATGCACATGCACAGGCACAGGCACATGCACACGCACATGCACATGCACATGCACATGCACATGCACATGCACATGCACAGGCACATGCACATGCACATGCACAGGCACATGCACAGGCACAGGCACAGGCACATGCACACGCACACGCACATGCACACGCACATGCACATGCACATGCACAGGCACAAGCACAGGCACATGCACATGCGAACGCACAGGCACATGCACATGCACACGCACATGCACACGCACACGCACATGCACATGCACATGCACAGGCACAGGCACATGCACATGCACATGCACACGCACATGCACATGCACATGCACAAGCACATGCACAGGCACATGCACAGGCACAGGCACATGCACAGGCACATGCACATGCACATGCACATGCACATGCACATGCACACGCACACGCACATGCACATGCACACGCACATGCACATGCACAGGCACATGCACATGCACAGGCACATGCACAGGCACATGCACATGCACAGGCACATGCACATGCACATGCACATGCACATCCACATGCACAGGCACATGCACAGGCACAGGCATAGGCACATGCACATGCACATGCAAACGCACAGGCACATGCACATGCACACGCATACGCACATGCACACGCACATGCACACCCACATGCACAGGCACAGGCACATGCACACGCACATGCACATGCACATGCACATGCACATGCACAGGCACATGCACATGCACATGCACAGGCACATGCACAGGCACAGGCACAGGCACAGGCACATGCACACGCACATGCACAGGCACATGCACTGAACATGCACATGCACATGCACATGCACATGCACATGCACAGGCACAGGCACATGCACACGCACATGCACATGCACATGCACATGCACATGCACATGCACATGCACAGGCACATGCACATGCACATGCACAGGCACATGCACAGGCACAGGCACAGGCACATGCACACGCACACGCACATGCACACGCACATGCACATGCACATGCACAGGCACAAGCACAGGCACATGCACATGCGAACGCACAGGCACATGCACATGCACACGCACACGCACATGCACATGCACACGCACACGCACATGCACATGCACATGCACAGGCACATGCACATGCACATGCACACGCACACGCACATGCACATGCACATGCACAAGCACATGCACAGGCACATGCACAGGCACAGGCACATGCACAGGCACATGCACATGCACATGCACATGCACATGCACATGCACACGCACACGCACATGCACACGCACACGCACATGCACATGCACATGCACAGGCACATGCACATGCACAGGCACAGGCACATGCACAGGCACAGGCACAGGCACAGGCACATGCACACGCACATGCACATGCACATGCACACGCACATGCACAATGTGCATGCACATGCACTGGGGAGAACATCTGTTGGGCCGATAGATATGCTACTCCCTCCCCCTCACCAACCCCCCCCCCCCCCCCCGTGATATCCCCTGTTCCCGCCTGCCTCTCCTCTACTCCCTGCTCCTTCCCCTGCCTACCCCGCTATCCCCCCTCTCCCTGCAGCCGCCCCCATACCCACCCCCCCACCCCCCCCCCCCCTTCCTCCTCCCCCCACCTGCTGCGGTCGTTGTAAAATGCCTCCAACAGTCCCCTCGAGTGACATGGCGTCGTCGAGCACTCAATTGGTCTCCCTCACCCTCTCCTCTCCCCCCACCTGCTGCACGTGGTTGGTCTCCCTCACTCCCCTCTCCCCCCTCTCCCCCCTTCCCCCCTCCCCCCCACCTCTCCCCGCCCCTCCTCCCCCACCTGCTGCAGGCGCTGCAGGATGCCTCCAACGGTCCCCTTGAGCGACACCGCATCGTCCCGCACGCGGTTCGTCTCCCTTACGGCGGAGGGAGAGAAGGCAGGGAAGAGTGAGGAGGAGAGGGGAGAGGGGGAGAGGGGAGAGGGGGAGAGGGGGAGAGGGGGAGAGGGGGAGAGGGGGAAAGGGGGAGAGGAGAGGGGGAGAGGAGGAGAGGGGGAGAGGTGGAGAGGGGGAGAGGAGGAGAGGGGGAGAGGGGAAGAGGAGGAGAGGGGGAGAGGAGGAGAGGGGGAGAGGGGGATACGAACCAGAGGCAGAGCAGGCGGGCGAAGGTAAAGCCACGGACTCCCTTGTCAGAGAGAGAGTACAGAGGGATGGTGAGCGGTGGAGGGGGGGAGAACCGAAGTGGGGTTGGGGGGAGGAGGAGGGGGGATGGGGGGGGAAGGGACAGAAACTGGACTCCATTTGTGCTCTGCCGCTCCACGTCACATTGCTGTACCTCCGATGCCCGCAGGCAACTCCACAGCCAAACCTTCCTCCCTCCCCATATGCAGCCTTCCTCGCATTCCCCCTCCCCTTCTCAGTCATTACCCGTCCCCCCAGCCCCACCCGCTCCCTCGCTATCCGTCGGAACCGCGCGCGCTGGCGCACCCGCGCACCGACACACCAGCGCCCCGGAGAAACAGAACGTCGCATGCGCGCACGTCGCATGCGCACGTCACCTGCGCACCGCACCTACGCACGGCACATGCGACGAACGCGTCACCGGCACAGCAGCGAGAATCGCGAACCTGAGCTGGTGACGTATCTCTTCCCACCCACCACCGCTCCCCCTCTCAACAAAGGGTCCTGCGAGCCTCCAAAGGTAGCGTTTCTAGGGTTTGTTGGGCTGGTTGCTAGAAAGCTGGTGGGGTAAGTCGGGCAGTCGCGCCTTGGAAGAAGTCTGGCGAAAAAACGAGGTTTCGCGAACACACGATTGAATCCTACAACCTGCCGACGTCGATACTATGCGCCACTACGAGCAGCCATGGCACAACGATCTGAATGACGATAAATAAAAACCGCTACGGTGTTAGGATCCGAAGCACGCTTCAAACGCTACATCGCTCATGAGCTGAGGCGAGATTATAGCTGCGGAATTACGAACAGCTGCACGATATAACTACGGTGTACTAACTGGCTAAGCTTCGACGATCTTGGACTCTAAATGACGATCTGGCTGTCATCTGCTACGATCTGAGACTTGAATTGAATCCCTTTCCCTTCATCCAGATTGATCGTGCTGCATCCCAATTGTTTCACGGGATTTCCTTTTCAGCCACTCCATCACTTTTCGGCTGCCCAAATGCTGATTTAGCACACGCAAAACTTGTCGGGAGAGAAGCTCAACCAAGCCTAGCTGCTTGTAAAATTTCACTCAAACTTCCCAACTCCCATACGAATGCCGTCCCGCACCTCACGCAAAACTTTTAGCCTTCACAAACAACTAGTGCCACGTCGACCACCTCCTGGGACCCCCCTCGTTTGGCCACACCACACCACCCTCCCAGATTCATGTGTTGCATGCGAACCATGTGAACCATGTGAACCATGCGACAGCGTTCCATCCAGTACATACTCCCACCCAAGCAGCACTCTTGTCTGCTAATTCGTAAGCATGGTTTCTACAAACGTCGGTGGCTCCTATAAAGGATACAGACGCGGCTCGTGCGATTCGTTCCTCGTTCATAGCCTCGCGACAACGACAGGCTCCCGTTCGTTCCAAGGTCGATTCGGCAGATTCGGGAGCGAATCGGCGGATTTGAAGCACGGAACTTATAAGACCGATGTTAGGTCAACCAGATCCATGTGGTCTTATGTAGAACAGACCCAACGGACGGAGCTCCTTATCGGTGCTTCTGGAGTCTAAACCCGGCGATTCATCGTGAGAGCTGAAGAAGCCGCAACCGTTAGATGCACGGAGAGACGGCAGTGAGAGCGGCGGTGAAGGCGATTCGGAAACGGCGATCAGAGCCGAAGGCGGCGAACTAGAAACGGCGGTGAGAGCAACTAGTAGACGGCGAACTGGAGACTAGTAGAACTAGAAACGGCGGTGAGACGACGAGCGAGAAACTAGTAAAACGGCGATTAAATATTGTGGGGGTTTGAATCGGGCTTGCGGCTGATTAGTACTCTAACTCGCCTCGTCCATACATTCTCATATGTACACAAGCCACAAGCAAGTTTATCCTGTACAAGAACGATGTAGTCAAGAAGCATCCACCTTGTGGACCTCGGGGGTGTGCGGTGAAGGTTCATGGTCACGTGCGCCCAAATCGGACGGTGAGCAGAGCATGATCAGAAATGGTGTAGTCTTCCGGCCACACGCCCTCCTCCATAGCGCTGGGGAACAGCGTCGCCTGCAGCACGTCCAGATTCAATGCACCTGGCAGCGTTGCTGGCTTCCGTCGCTCCGTACCGCTCTTCCCTCCTGCCTTCCCGTCAACCAACTGCGTCTGCTTCGTCCTCCCCTCAGTCTTCCCTCCAGCTTGAAGGGCGACAGCCTTGTTAAAGCCACATCCTGTACAGTCACCTCTGCCTGCTGTACACCCGGATAAGCCCATTTTCTTCCGTAACCGCTTGCACTCTGCCTCCATTTCCTGCTGCTGCTGCTGCTGCTGGTTCTGGTGGTGCTGGTGCTGCAGTTGGTGCTGCTGGAAGGACTGCCCCCTCGCTGCAGCAGATACAGCATGTGAAAAAACTGTGATAGGGTCGGACATGCCGGACCTGAAGAGCGGGAGATGGCTGAATTGATGCAGGTGTGGAAATCGCGCAGAAGGTTCGGTAGATGGGAAGGCGTGGTGGGAGTGAGTGGGAGGAGTGAGGGAGGAGGTGGTAGGAGTGAAGGAGCAAGTCATGACTGGGAGAGAGTGAGTGTGAGTGTGGAGGAGGGAGTGAGGGAGCGGGGAAGGTGAGAGGAGTGAGACAGCAGATGAATTGGAGGGTGAGGGAGATGGGAACGGAGAGAGGAGGGACGAGGGGGAGGAGGGTGGTGATGGTTGTGGGGAAAGGGGACACTGTAGGAGGGGAGAGGATAGGCGTTGAGAGCTGAGGGAAGGATTGTGGGCTGAACCCTGCTGACCAGGGATAGTGCTGCTGATGTCAGACGAAGCGATGCTGATGTCAGACGAGGCCATGCTGATGTCAGAGTTTGTTCTGCGGATGTCAGCAGCACCTGCACTGGTTGAGTCAGCAGGTACTGCGAGTGAGTCAGCAGAGCATGACGTGGCAAGAGACTGCCTGAGAGCTGCTACAGTGTCGTCCCAGGTGGGTTGGTCAAAAAGAGCCTGTGGTAAGGTTGGGAGCAAAGGGGAGTGAGGAAATTTGAGTGCATACGCAGTGTCACACGGGTGAACAGGAGTCAACGGGAGTCAACATGAATCATGAAGTAAAGAAGGTTACAAATGAAAGAGAAAGTAACTTACATCATGAAGTAACCCAACATCAGCAATAGCCCTAGCCCTACCTTGAAGTCTTCCAAGTCAACGCGCCCTCTCCCCTGGCAGTCAGCTGACCGCATAAGCTCTTCCACCTCAATGCTTGTCAGCCCGATGGAGTCAACGCCAGTCAAGCCCAGTCGGTCTAGACCCCTCCGGAAATCGCCCATGGTGAAACCAGCAGGCCCCTCCAAATCTTCCTGCTCTTGTTTCCCCCCCTCCAGCTCCTCCCCTCCCCTAAAAAAGAAGTCAAACGCAGCTTCCACGTTGGTGATGCCGGCCGAAGCGAGCTTGGACCTGATAAGGCCGAAGACCGTCGTCCGCCAGTTGACTGCGAGCGTGCGTCGGTGCTGCTCGGGGTTCAAGACCCACACGTAGTCGACTCCACACAGATTGCCATGGTGGTTGCGGTGGCTCACCCACTGGACAAGGGGGGGGGGGAGGGGGGAAGAGAAAGAGATTGAGGAGAGGTGAGCACAGGCCCAGTTGATTGCTAGCGCTTGCTGATGCTGAAGAGGAAGGGGATGGTCAACTGCGAAATCAGAGGGGATTAGCGATGGTGCGAGTGCCTGCTCGTCCTTGTCGCTGTGTTGGTGTGCCGAGTCAAACGGGTCACAGGAGGTCCTGGGATCTCCTTAAAGCCCAGAAAAAAAAAAAAAAAAAAAAAAAAAAAAGGGTCACAGGAGGACGCTAGCAGCTGTCAGACCTTTGATATGACATACAAGCTATGGCGGGAGGCAAAGGTGAGACACAACGGAGGGAGGGAGGGAGGGAGGGAGGGAGGGAGGGAGGGAGGGGGGAAGAGAAGAGTACCTGCTCGTCCTCGTCGCTGTGGTGGTGAGCCGAGTCAAACGTGGAGATGAAGCCGTGCGATTTCAGCAGCTTGTACACGTTGCCCTGCTTCGTGCCATTCAGGTCCCTGCATTGTCACACAGCCACAAGAGGAGCAAGCCCAGGTCAGGTAGGCGGAATAAGAGCAACATGAAAGTTGAGACGAGTGGTGAAGGCAGAAAACTCACCCGCACTGCAGAGGCAAAGGCAGGGAACTCACCCGCACAGGATGATGGGCAACGCCCCTGCCTTGTGCTCCTCTCTATAGCCATCGATCCGCTCCAGCAGCTTGTACACCCGGCACAGCCGCACGATGCGGCAGTTGACAGCACGCGAGCACAGAGACCAGGCACTCACCCGCACAGGATGATTGGCAGCGCCCCTGCGCTGTGCTCCTCCCGGTACCCATCGATCCTCTCCAGCAGCTTGTACACCTGGCACAGCCGCACAATGCTCGAGCTGGCGTTGTGCGGAAACAGCAGGTGCGTGTTCGCCACCAGCACCTCCTCGCCTCGCTCTGCTTCCCCCTCCTCTCCTCCATCCTCCTCCCCCTCTTCCCCTCCTCCCCTCCTCGCCCGGAGTCGGACGATCTGTGCCACCCGGTCGCCACAGTCGTTGAAGCACAGCGGGTGGTGGTCTACCACCGCCCACTCGGACGCTTTCACTGCCATCATTAAGCCTGATTGTTGAGGAGAAGGTGGAGGAAAGAGGAGGGAGGAGCAGGAGAGTGACAAGTCATAGGACAGTTAATTTTTGGAGCGCCTCAAGAATAGACTCCTCGGCTACAGAGAGCTGTGAACGATTGTTGAGAATTCTCAAAAATCACGGTGCAGCTGTTGCGTGAAGTTCGCTCACCATCACCCCTGGCGTTTGTGCGAGGCAGCTTGAGGAGCTGGTAACCAGCGCCTTGTAACGCTTGGTCGTACATGTCCACCCACTCCGGATTTGCCAGCCAACACTCCTGCAAAGAATGAGGTAGATTGGCATGAGAAGAACGGGTTGAAAACTTGAAGTACCAGGACAGAAGGATGAAGAAACTAAGCCTCAGAGCCCGGTAGCAACTCTTAGGGAATATACAGCGAAATATGGGGAATGAAAACCACAAAAAAAAAAAAAAAAAAAAAACCCTTAGTACCTGCAAGCAGAGGATGGACGACTTGGTGCCGAGCAGCGTCTGAATGATCTCCTGATTGCGCTTCCGCCACACGTGCTGGCACTCGCTCTCCCTCTCACTCTGCACAGAGAAACACGGACACACACAGCACAGACCAGCACCGCTGGATCATTTAGCAGTAATAACGCTGAAAGTCCACCAGAATCAACCTAAATTGCATCAACCAAAGCGTCCACTTTCGACACTCGCTCTCCCTCTCCCTTCCCCTCCGCATCGACACTTCCACTTGAGAAAAACCCAATTAAGTCTCCTCTCCCTCGTTTCGCCTCACCTCGACGCCCATCCTCTTGTAAATCGGAGCGAGCACGTTGAACGTGGTGCACGACAGAACCGTCTTTTCCTGCACCGTCCGCCGCCATTCCTCCTCCGCCGCCTCCTCCCGCGCCTCGTCCATCACCGCCATAGCCGCCGCGCTCTGGTAGCCCCGCGCCGCGTAGCTAAGGCTTCTCTCTCCGCGAGTCACGCCGCAAGAGCCGGAGAAAGAAGCGGCGTCGCGACTCCAAGTTCCTCGTTGTCGGCCTGGTCTTCGCTGGGCTGACGGTCGCGAATCATCCCTCGCGACGTTCGCGAAAACGTGGCGATAACGACGGTAACCGAGCTGACCGATTTTGCCTCGCAGCGAGGAAACGCCGTGTCTTAGCCGCTCCATAGCAGGAAACTCGCAGAATTGGCCGTGCGAAGTCTCACAACGGTCGCATGGCGACGAGGACGCGCCTGTGGCATCGCAGCAGCTCGCGGAATCGCAGCAATTGACCGTTTGACGAACAGCGAGCGACACAGGCGAGCAGTCGCCTGGAGGGTGGGCGACGTAGTGTGAAGCGCAAGGCGAAGACAATCTCGAGAGAGCGGTGGCGGCGAGACCACCGCCACTTAGGAGGACAGCATCTGCAGCCATGATTGCATGTCGAATCCAAAACTGATTTGGCGCGCACAAGCACGCAGCAGCAGGCGGAAATCCCGCCGCACCTACAGCATGCATGGTTACTACCAGCAATGAATGCTTCAGCAGGGGCCTTTCAGCAACGCCAAGAGCCGGAAGGAGCAATTACTCGCATTAGGCTTGGAGAACCAAAGGGAGGGTGAGTGAAGCTGGACGGCGCACTGACTCGTGCTCGAATACTCTCATAATTTGCGCCCTGCGTGTGCGATGGGTTGCGTCGAGAGGGGAAAATCTGGAGGGCGAGTGTGACCTGGGTGGTCGGCAAACTGAGGTCACTGCCGCGTGGGTGGTTTGGCATGTCTTGTGACGAGAGCGAAGGGGCGCGAAAAAAGGAATGTCTCTCTGTGTGGGCTCGCGAAGCTGACGAAGCATTTGATCAGCGGCCGAGGGAAGGTTATGCGGTGTCGTGTGTGGCGGTAATCCTCCTCGGCTAATTGGCTGGGTCGGGCTGATGTTGTCTGGCAAGAGGAAAACTTTCGGCGGAGTGAAAGTGTAATGCTTTCGTAATGCGCTGAAAATTGTGGTCACGGGCCACGTGCGCCACGTGGAAAACCCTAACATCCGTCATCGTCCCAGTGAAGCTTGCGCAACACTGAAGCACCCCCTCCCCAGCAGGCGATGGTAAGAACGTCACCCACGGAATATCACACGCCAAATGTCCGCACTTGCTCATCGGCAAGCCGCCTTCTGTCAGTTTCGAGTGTGCGACGGGCAGATACATCACTGATCTTCTCGCTTTTCCAGTGTGACACATCAGCATGAGCCATGATCCACAATGACCACACCATATCAACCACGTCAACGTTCCATGCGGTCCCCACCCCCTTTAGAGTTTTTGTTTATCGTCATTCGTGATTACTACATAACACACACATTCTTACATTACATTCTTATATGAGGAACCTTACATGCCTTAGCGTCGTGTCATTTCTCATTATACAACTCGTAGCACTTGTCACACTGTGATGGTATCCCTTTTCGTTCAACCTCGTCACGTGCCTCCACCTCACTGCTCATGGCAGACCAGATCTCGTGGCGCACAAGCACGCCGTCCTATTTCACCTGCCCCAACTTCGCGCGTCGTCCTGATCACAGCCCCTGGTTACACCAATCACATCGCGAGACCCGAGTCGTCCTCCCCTGATGACGAACCGCGGCTCCAATCCGAACCAGAGGCCTACTTGCCTAACCTTCGCAACTGGTGTGTAATCGTCGCCGCCATCTTCGTCAGTCATCGCAGCCCTGCCTACGGCCAAACAACGAGTCAACGCCTCTTCGCCTCCCGTCGCAAACCCACTTTGTTTGCCCCTGTCTGGTCGCCTCATTCCTATGAACGCGTCGCTCGGCTTCAATCTCCCATCGCATGCCTCAATGAATGTGTCGCTTATGCTGTTGTCCTTGTTCGAAATCCGTCGCCTGGTCTGACTCCTACCTCTAACTCTCCATCGCATGATTCACCTGAGTTGAGCTTCCCCTTCCGCCATAGCTACCGCCATAGCCATCCCACACCGGGGAAGCGCCTATCAGAGTCGTCGCTGAGGGACGGTCAGCTGCGGCCACGCGCTCCTTATCCCTACTAGCGCCGATTTGAGCGACGAAGTGCTACAGCGGGTCGCAGAGCTCGTACAGTTGTATGGCGCTGCAGCACGACCTCCCGCTTTCTTGCTCAACATTCATTTGTCACTCAAAGCAGCTCCCGAGACAAATCCTCGGCCACATGCTTGCGATTGCTGAGGAGAAACTACAGAAGAGTACAGTGAACATCGCCATGGTTCCCTTCCGCTCCTAGCCCACGGTGTTCGTTATCATCGCATGGAGTGCCCGTGGTGCAGTTGATCGTATGTTCATCAGCGCCGAGCCCAGCCGAGCCGAGCCGAGCAGAGCGGAGCTCATAGTGCTGTAAGAGCGTCCCTGTCGCTCGCCGTCAATCTACTCTTGTCCGCCATGGCCGGCGCAGATGTGCAGGACGTCACGATAGCTCCATACGAGGACGCGTCGAGCGACGAGTTGTAGCAGCAGCGAGTAGGTGGACGACGCACGACGCTGCAGTGAGAGCGATAAAGAGAGGGAACAGGCTCAGTCGCGCGGTAGTTGCTGAGAGCAGATTTGGTGGACTGAAAAGTGGCTAGCAGCGAATACCTACTAAGCATTGGGTGTTAGTAGAAAGTCGCAGAGGTTCTGTGACGAATTGTTCCGTCGCTTCGAGACGGACTACGGAATAGTGTCGTCGCATACGATTCTGATAGACTGATCGTAACCGAGTCGTCGCGAATCTGATAAACAGCATCTCGCATCATGGGGAGCAATCACCGGCGACTGTCACCACTTCGTCGCCGAGTTACACCATGCGGTTACAGATGCCTCCCTGCTTCGCCGTGCTTCCCGCTGCTATGTCTCCTCCTCGCGCTTCCACTCGCATCAACCGCCGCGACTGCCGCCGCAACTGCCGGAACGCCGGTTATAATAGACGCGACGCTCCATCCAGTCACAGGATCGCCCGGATCGCTCAATTCTGCGCAGCCGGCGCCGTCGGTGCCGTCGAGATCGGGCCAAAGCGGACAGATTTCGATGCTCACCGTAGTCTCGGGCTGCCCGGACGAACGTTTTTCCTGCCCCGCGCCCGTGACCGTGGTTTCGCCGAGCAGCCGTGCCGCGAGCTGCCTCCGTATCCCGCAATTCAGGGCGACTCGGTCGTTCAAGATTGATTGGCTGGGCGAGTCGATCGTTTCCGCCGCGCTCGCTGCTGCTGGAGCCGCAAGCAACGCGACGGAGACGAGTGTTGGCGTTATGAGCACCCCCGCTAAAAGCACATCTGCTTCAAGCAGACTAGACGGAACGCAGTCTGGGCAATCGAGCGGCGTGCGGACTTACATCTGCCAGTCGTTAGTCTTCTGGTCGTCCGTCAACTGCTCGCCGCTAGAACCGTCTTTCGCTGTCGCCATGCGTAACTGGAGTGATTTGATCTCCACCGTCCGATCCACTCCGCAATGCTCATCCAACGGATCATCCTCAGTTGCTTCCCCAAATTCCGGATCGGCGGGAGAATCCGCCGCGAAGCCATCCAGCAAAGTGGCTCTCGAATCGCGTGGAGTCACCAGCGCGGAGGCTGACTCAGCGCCGGAACATGCGGCGGGTCCCGCGGGAGCCAGGCTACGAGGAGGGATCGACACAATTAGGGTGGCGGGAGGAGCGATCGGAGCGCCGTTTTCCGCGCCGCAGCAGATGGGAATAAGATCTATTAGTTGCGAGACACTACAGCCTATCGATGCTTCTACGTTCACGCTGCTCTTCTCCTCTCCCGCGCCTTGCGCTCCGCCTAGTATTGGCTCTCCCGCTCCCCCCACTGCCGGATCTTCCGCGCCTCCTTCAGGAAGCCGCGCCTCCGCAATTCCTGGTAGCGCGACAGGTATTTCTGCCACGTCATCGTCATCTATCACGTCGACCACGTATTCCTCCTCCCAGCCGGTCCCCGCCAACGAAACTGCCACGTCAGCCAGCGCATCGTCCGACACCCTCACTCTGTTCGCGTTAGCAGTGGCCGCGGTACTAGCGTCCGTGTGCGTGCTCGCGTTTGTCGGAGCCGCGTTCTACTTCGCCCCTGAATCTGCAATGCGGACCGCCGCCGCCGCAGCCGCCGCCGCAACCGCCGCCGCGTCCATAGCCGCGGAAATCGCCGCGTCTACCGCAAGGCATGCGCGCAGCGGGCGCAGGGACTCTCGGAATTCCCCGGGTTCCCCCGATCCCCGCTCCAGTTCCTCCCCCTCCGCCCCCCTGCGCTCCTCCCGCTCCCCTTCGTCCTCGTCTTCAGCCTCCTCGTTATCATCACTAGGCGCTTCCGCTTCTTCCTCCTCCTCCTCCTCATTAGACTCCCGCTCCTCCCGCTCCCCTTCCCAAAGCAGGGGAGGGCGGGGGGAGGGGGACAGGTCGGGCGGGCACGGAGGGGATGAGGGGAGGGGAAGGGGCAGCGGCGGGCGGATAGAGGTGGAGCAGGGGGGGGTAATGGAGAGGAGGGGAAGGGGGACAGGCGGAGACATAGGCACAGGCACAGGCAGCTAGATAGACGCATGGAGAGGCGAGGGGAGACCGAGAGGGAAGGGAAGGGGGAGAGACGGAAGGAAAAGGAGGCGTTGAGAAGAGGGGGAGGGGCAGAGGGGAGGTGCCGTGGGTGCGGGAAGCAGGAGGGGTTGGAAAAATGGAAAGAAACGACGGAGACAGGATGTCTTGATGGAGCTGTAACGGGTGTTGCTGTAACGGGTGCTGCTGTAACGGGTGTTCTTGTAACGAGTGTAGTGCAAGGGAGTACCGAGGAGGGTGGAGACAGGGAAAGGAGGTCAGGCGGGGTCCAGAATGGAGGGGGGAGAGGAGGGGTGCAGCTGAAACGAGTGTTCTTGTAACGAATGTGAGGGGGCAAGAGGATGGGGATGCAGGTGGAGGAATGGAGAGAGAAGGGGGGGACGGAAGGGAGGGGAGGAGCAGAGATGGGAATTCGTTGGTCTAGTGGGTTTCATCGGGAACAGAAGCAGAAGGTTCTAAAGGTATGGGGCAGGTACTTTGGTTTATCCTGCCAAGGTTTGAGATTCGGTTTGAAGTGGTGATCAGTGTTACCCACCCTAAACCCTGGTGGCTAATCTGGTTGAGTGGTGTGCTGCTGACAGAAAGGGACCGTGCCTTTCTCGGGCACTCCGTCCGTCTGAAGCAGATGGGTTGCAGAAAACTGCTGCTGTGGTCAGTATTGTCACCATTGGTGTCAGTATCAGGGGTTCCGTGACATGGGGGTGAATGTCTCAACTCTCCATTGCACCTGAAGAGTAAACTCATGTCTCATGACAGGGATTTATGACTTCCTAACAAGCTGGAATAGCAGCAGCTGCCTTGATGCGTCTCTATTTATTTGCCGTACCGGGTGCGATCTTTATTGTATGGCCCACATGGTTGTAGGGAGGAGGCAGTTTCGTAGGGTAGGTAACATTGATTTGCTTGGCAGTATAATGGAAGTACAAGTACAATAAATTATTATGTATCATGATGTGACCAAGCATCAAGATGGAAAACTTATACAAAGAAGTCACATGGACATGCTTTTTTTACACTAATCAGGATGGAAAAGTGTTCCTCTGGCAGGGGCTATTCATTATTCTCGAGTCACATTTCGCCTCACTTTTGGCGGGAATCCCACCGACAAAGTTCGTCAGCAGATCATTCAGCCCAGAGGATCTGCTACGGACAGAGAATTTGCTCCTACGTCTTTATATCTGACGGCTCTCCCGTGCAGCCTCAGGCCTCATTGCTAGTTATTACCAGGCGGGATGCGAGGCAAGCATGGCCATGCTATCGAGTACCCGCCTGTTGGCTCAATCTAGCGACCATCGCACTGATGGTAGTCCCGCCTTCTCGGTTTCGCATTACCGTCACCGTTTCGACACATTCCTCCTCGTCCTGTCGTTGTCGCTGCTCGTTACCGCATCTTTAGCGCAAAACACCGGCGAATGCGCTGAAATTAGAACCGAAAGCAGCGGCTCTGGTTCCCGTACTTGCGCTGCTAGTGCTGAGGCGCCAGCCGAAGGATCCGAGGCCTATTCCAATCTGGAGACTTCTGAAAATGGAACTGATGCTTATTCCGGTGAATCCGCGGACGGTAGAGGGTATAGAAAGATCGGGAGCGTCGAGCATGACGTGGCAGGGTCGGAGCGTGCCATGGTGGAGGACATGCTGACGTGGATGGGACTGGATTGGACGCGGGATTCGGAGGGATCTGAGTATGGCATTATCGTTGGCGGTAGTATCGAGGTTAGTGCGACGGATATACACCTCTTAGCGAAGCCAGTTACGCGTGTCAATGCTTCCCTGATCAACGCCAGTTACACGTGTCAGTGGTTCCCTGATCAACGCCAGTTACACGTGTCAGTGGTTCCCTGATCAACGCCAGTTACACGTGTCAGTGGTTCCCTGATCAACGCCAGTTACACGTGTCAGTGGTTCCCTGATCAACGCCAGTTTCGCGTGTCAATTGTTCCCTGATCAATGCCAGTTGCACGTGTCAGTGCTTCCCTGATCGATGCCAGTTTCGTCAGAATGCAGCGGGTGTTCGTCAACGCTTCCCTGGTCCACGTCAGTCAGAATGCAGCGGGTTTTCTGGCTGGTGACTGTCTCTCCGCGTCTCAGATTGACACGTGTCACTCTCATCCTGTCGCCTCGTCGCAGGTGGACTTCTCCACTCGCAGTGTGCACGAAGCCACCACGGATGACGTCACGCGTGACGTCACGGGCCATGGCTCTTCAGGCAGTCCCGAGGGTGGCGCAGGCGCGTGGAAGCCAAACGACACCCGGTAGGCTCCCCTTCCTTGGTTCGACCCACCCTCGTGTTCTCATGCAACTTTCCCCCACACTCCCCCTTGCTCCCCACCCTGTTCCCCCGTCTTTCCTGCCGTGGAGCCCATTGCGCAAACTCGCAACTCGCAGACACTCAGATGCAACCAGCAGTGATTTTATGCTCCTTGCTCTCCCCCCCGCGCACCTGCTCACTCCCCATTTCCCCCCTCTCCCCCCCCCCTGCTATCCCCGTCATCCAAACAGTGCAGACATCGGTTTCCAGGCGGCTCAAACCCCCCGTGTTCCCCCCTTGCTGTCTCCGCCCCCCCTGCACTGCCACTCACTGCAGGGCGGACATCGGTTTCAAGGCAGCTCACCCCTGCGCCTTCCCCCTTGTTGTCCTCCCGCTAATTCCGCTGTCCCTCACTGCAGGGCGGATATCGGTTTCAAGGCAGCTCGCAGATTAGCAGAGGGCGAGGTGCTGCTGAAGGTTCCACGAAGGTTCCACATCGTGGCCAACTGGATTGCGCTGGTGGGTGTGGTTGTATGTGGGGGTGTGACTGCGTGTGGTTGTGACTGTGTGTGGGCTGGTTGCATGCGCAGGGGGGTTGGTTGCATGCTCATTGCAAGGAAGTGCATTGAAATGCAGGGAAGTGCAGGGAAGAATGCACGTGGGTGTGACTGTGTGGGTGTGACTGTGTGTGGGCGTGACTGCACGTACGTGTCACTCTGTCTGCGGGGGGGTGGTGTGGGGGTGTGTGCATGAACGCCCTGCCACCAGCTTCTTGCCTCACTTCCTTCCCCCTCTCAACCCCGTTTCTCCCCTTCCCCCCCCCCCCAAGAACGATGCAGAGTGCCACCTGCTGACGTACGACATGCCCCTGCCAGTGCCCTACAGGTGGGACAGATACACTGTCCTGGCAGCGTGGCTGCCGGGGGAAGAAAGAAAGACCGTCCTGCCTCTCTTCTTTTGGCCACATCACCCCCATCCCTCCCCATCCCTCCCCATCCCTCTCCCAGAACGAGTCAGAGCGTCACCTGCTTCCGTACGACATGCCTCTGCCAGTGCCGCACGGCTGGGACACATATACCGTCCTGGCAGCATGGCTGTTGCGGGAGAGGGCCAAGGGGGCGCTCTCCCCCTGGTCGCGCTTCCTGCGCTCCCTGCCTGCCTACGTGCCGCTGCCCGCCCTCTTTCCATCTGGCCTCATAGAGGAGTTTGAGTACCAACCCATAGTGGACCAGGTGAGAGCTTCAACGAGTGTGTGGGTGGGGAGGTTTGCGGGCCAAGGGGGCGCTCTCCTCCTGCTCGCCTTTCCTGCACGCCCTGCCTGCCTCCGTGCCCCTGGCCGCCCTCTCTCCCCTGGAGCTGATAGAGGAGTTTGAGTACCGGCCCATAGCGGACCAGGTGAGCACTTTCCCCCACCCTCACCATCAGCCCGCTGGCCGGCTGGCCCACTGGCCCTCTAGCCCACGAGCCCACTAGCTCGCTGGGCTGCTAGCCTGCTAAACGGCTGGCCTGCTAGCCCGCTAGCCCGCTGGCCCACTAGTTCGCTAGCCCGCTGTCCCGCTAGCCCGTGCCCTCCCCCGGGCATTTCCTGTGCCCCCACCAGCGCGCCCCACATGTGGGCTTTTCCCTGCCCCCCCCTGCTAGCTTTTACCCGCAGCCATCCGCGGGCTGTTCCCCGCAGCCATCTGCGGGCTGTTCCCCGCAGCCACCCAGGTGCTGTTCCCCGCAGCCACCCAGGTGCTGTTCCCCGCAGCCACCCAGGTGCTGTTCCCCGCAGCCACCCAGGTGCTGTTCCCCGCAGCCACCCAGGTGCTTTTCCCCGCAGCCACCCAGGTGCTTTTCCCCGCAGCCATCCGCGGGCCTTTCCCCGACTCTAGCCCGCTGGCCAGCTGGCCCGCGGGCCCGTTGGCCCACTACACCGACCTTCATGATTGCTGCAACCTCCCGCCATCGCCATTGCCTCGTGCTCTGAGTTCTGCTGGGCACTCGCCATAGTTACATCGTGCTGCTTTACCTTCTCGCCCTCCCTTGTCATACTCTCCTTCCCTCTCTCCCTCCCACTCAGGCCAGTCGCCTCAGGCAGGCATACACTGACCTCTACACTCGCTGCAGCCCTGCTGCCCATCGCCCATGCCTCTTTCCCTTCCCCCTCTCCCCCCTCTCCCTCCTCTGCCCAGGCCACTCGCCTCAAGCAGGCATACACCGACCTGTACGATTGCTGCAGCCCTGCTGCCATCGCCCATGCCTCTTTCCCTTCCTCCCCCCTCCCCCCTCCCCCCCCGCTCCCCCCGCTCCCCCCTCTCCCCCCTCTCCCCCCTCTTCCTCCTCCTCCCCCTCTTCCACCTCTTCCCCCTCTCCCCTCTCTCCCTCCTCTGCCCAGGCCACTCGCCTCAAGCAGGCATACACCGACCTGTACGATCGCTGCAGCCCTGCTGCCATCGCGAACGCGTCGCGCTCCGAGTTCTATTGGGCGCTCGCTATAGTCACATCGCGTTGCTTCACCTACTCCCCCGCCATGCCTGACAGCGAGAGTGGGGTTTCCAGTGGAGACTCTGCTGGTGGGGCAGAGCAGCGGGAGAGTGGAACCGAGGGGGGATTAGATGGAGCAGCAGCAACAGCAGCAGTTGCAGAAGAGGAAGCTGTTGCAGGAGGGGAAGCCGAGACTGGTCGAGTTGACAGCAGCAGCAGCCGCAGCAGCAGAGGGGAGGAGTGGTTTGCCACGTCAGCAGCCATGCTTCCGTTCGCTGACCTGTTTAACCATGATAGTTACCCCAACCTGGGGTGGGAGGTAAGGGATGAAATGGGAGGTATGGGATGAAATGGGAGTTCTGGACCCAAATGGGAGGTATGGGATGAGATGGGAGGTTAGGTATTGTCAGATTGGGCATGGAGGACATAGAAATCTGCAGGCTAGGTGACTTTTGAGGTGACTGACGAGGTGAATTTTAAGGTGATTTTTGAGGTGACTTTCGAGGTGGCTTTAGAGGTGACTTTTGTGGTGATTTTTGATGTGACTTTTGAGGTGACTTTTGCGTTGACTTTTGAGGTGACTTTTGCGTTGACTTTTGAGGTGACTTTTGCGTTGACTTTTGAGGTGACTTTTGCAGTGACTTTTGAGGTTGACTTTTGATGTGACTTCCCCCCCGCTCCATCTCCCCTTCCCCTCTGCAGCTGTCTGGTGGCCGATTCGTCTTCACAACCTTCCACAACTTCAATCGCACAGCAACACACCACTCACACCCTCCCTCCTGCTTCCCTCCTCTGCAGCTTTCTGGCGACCGGTTCGTCTTCACAACCTACCACGACCTCAATCGCACGGCAACTCGCCCTCCACCGCCCACCCTCCCTCCTGCTTCCTGCCCCACAGCTCTCTGGCGACTGGTTCGTCGTCACCGCCTACCCGGCCATCAAGCGGGGTGAGCCGATGAGCATATCGTACGGCACAACACGCACACCCTCCCCATCCCTCCCCCCTTTCCCTCCAACACACACACTTGCCCCTCCAATGCGCACTTCCCCCTCCCTCTCCCACAGCTCTCTGGCGACTGGTTCGTCTTCACAACCTATCAGGCCATCGAGCGGGGCGAGCCCCTGAGCATATCGTACGGCGCCAAGCCGACAATCGATGTGGTCCTGGAGTATGGCTTCGTGCCGTCCTACAACCCCTATGACAGTGTTATGATGTTCCCAAGGTGGGTATTCATGCCCTTTTACATGCCCAAGCCCACCACCCAAACCCACCATCGATGTGGTGCTGGAGTACAGCTTCGTGCCGACCTACAACCCCTATGACACTGTTCTGAAAGTTTTCAAGGCGGGTATCGGCCTCTCTATGTTACTAGAACTTACCACCCACCAAGGGCCCACCACCCAACCCAACCAGCCATGTGGTGCTGGAGTATGGCTTCGTGCCCTCCTACAACCCCTACGACACTGTTCTGAAAACCCAAGGTGGTTGTTCATGCCTTGCTCCAAGCCCAAGCCCAAGCCCAAGTCCAGCGCCCAAGCCCAGCGCCCAAGCCCAAGCCCAGCATCGATGTGATTCTTTTTCCCAGGTCAGTCTCTGCCTCTCTACGATGCTAGAATCACCACCCAAGAGCCCAGAACCCAAGAGCCCAGCACCCAAGAGCCCAGCACCCAAGAGCCCAGCACCCAAGAGCCCAGCACCCAAGAGCCCAGCACCCAAGAGTCCAGCACCCAAGGGCCAAGCACCCAATAGCCAAGCACCCAAGAGCCCAGCACCCAAGGGCCCAGCACCCAAGAGCCCAGCACCCAAGAGCCCAGCACCCCAGCACCCCAGAGCCCAGCACCCGAGAGCCCAGCACCTTAGAGCCCAGCACCCAAGAGCCCAGCACCCAAGAGCCCAGCACCCAAGGGCCCAACACCCAAGGGCCCAGCATGCAAGAGCCCAGCACTCCAGAGCCCAGCACCCAAGAGCCCAGCACCCAAGAGCCCAGCACCCCAGAGCCCAGCACCCAAGCCCATGTCATATGCCAAAGCCTCTGCCATACACCTCCACCCTACATCTGCACCTACACCTACACCTACACCTCACCTACACCTACACCTACACCTACACCTACACCTACACCTACACCTGCACCCACACGTACACCTGCACCCACACGTACACCTGCACCTACACGTACACCTACACGTACACCTGCACCTACACCTACACCTTCACGTACACCTGCACCTACACGTACACCTACACGTACACGTACACCTACATCTACACCTACACCTACACCTACACCTCGACCTCCACCCAAAGCCTACACCTACTCCTATGCTCCCCCAAGGCCTCTATGCTTTCCCGGGCCACTATGCTTCCCTGGGCCACTATGCTTTCCTGCCCCAATCCCTGTCGTGCCCTCAACTTGAACACCTTATGACCCTGTTTCTATCCCAACCCCAATCCCTGTGCCGCTCTGACTCTTCTCTCTTCCCCAGCCCCGCTCAGCCAGGGGCCTTCGCAGTGCAACAGACCATCCCTTCACCAACACGCCCTGCTGCTGCTCCTGCCCTTCTTTTGAGCACCTCATAACCCTGCTCCCATGTCAATCCCAATCCATGTACCACGCTGCTTCTCCCTGCTCTTCCTCTCTTCCCCAGCCCCGCTCAGCCAGGGGCCTTCGCAGTGCAACAGACCATCCCTTCACCAACACGCCCTGCTGCTGCTCCTGCCCTTCTTTTGAGCACCTCATAACCCTGCTCCCATGTCAATCCCAATCCATGTACCACGCTGCTTCTCCCTGCTCTTCCTCTCTTCCCCAGCCCCGCTCAGCCAGGGGCCTTCGCAGTGCAACAGACCATCCCTTCACCAACACGCCCTGCTGCTGCTCCTGCCCTTCTTTTGAGCACCTCATAACCCTGCTCCCATGTCAATCCCAATCCATGTACCACGCTGCTTCTCCCTGCTCTTCCTCTCTTCCCCAGCCCCGCTCAGCCAGGGGCCTTCGCAGTGCAACAGACCATCCCTTCACCAACACGCCCTGCTGCTGCTCCTGCCCTTCTTTTGAACACCTCATAACCCTGCTCCCATGTCAATCCCAATCCATGTACCACGCTGCTTCTCCCTGCTCTTCCTCTCTTCCCCAGCCCCGCCCAGCTGGTGGCCTTCGCAGTGCAACAGACCATTCCCTCACCGCCACGCCCTGCTGCTGCTCCCCCCTCTGTTAGCGCAGCAGAGGTAGTAGCAGGAGAGGGGAAGAGAGAAGGAGGAGGGGAGAGAGAAGGGAGGAGGGATGCACAGGAGGAGAAACAGCAGGCATCTCCATCAGGGGGGTACCACCAGGGGCGGGCAGGCGGGGAGGGGAGTGGTGCACTGAGGGTTGCAGCACGGGTGAGAGATGTGGTTGTGAGGTTGAGAGAGGAAAGGAGGGTGGGCGGGTATGAGGGGACGAGCATTGAGGCAGCACTTGCGGCTGGGGATCAGGGGGAAGGGGAGGGGGAGGCGCAGGCGGGAGCTCAGCTGGAGCATCAGGGGGAGGAGCTGGGGGATGGGCAGGAAGGGGGGGCGGAAGAGGTGCAGGGGAGAGTGGTGATGGAAGAGGTGGCGAGTGAGGGGAGTGTGGAGTTTAAGGGAGAGGGAGGAGAGGAGTATGGCACGGGAGGGGATGGCACGGGAGGGGATGGCAGGGGAGGGGGGTGGTGGGAGGACATGGCGAATGAGGAGGACGAGAGCGCCAAGCAGCAGCTGGTGGTGTGGGCAGGAGGGCATGGCAGCCCTGAGATGCTGGCCATGGCGGCTGCGGTGTGGCAGTGGGAGGTCACTGGGCGAGGTGAGACAGGGAGGAGGGGTTGGTTTGGCGGGTATGGTGTGATGCGCTGGTATGGCGAGAGGGCATGGCGGCCCTGAGATGCTGGTCATGGCGGCTGCGGTGTGGCAGGGGCAGGCTACAGGGGCAGGCCACAGGGAAAGGTGAGAGACGGAAAGGCATTTGGTTGCACTTGTTCCTTCACTTACCCCCGTGAGGAGTGCAGAGTGAGGTGGGTTGAGCGCGCCAAGCAGCAGCTGGTGCTGTGGGCGGGCGGGCATGGCAACCCCGAGATGCTGGCCATGGCGGCTGCAGTGTGGCAGTTGGAGAGCACAGGGCGAGGTGAGAGATTGCATCTCTCACCTCGCCCATGGGCGAGGTAAAGGCCATGGTGAGATTGATGATTGCCTGATGGTGGTGTGGTGTGGTGTGGGCGGGCGGGCATGGCGGCCCTGAGATGCTGGCCATGGCGGCTGCGGTGTGGCACTGGGAGACCACAGGGAAAGGTGAGACAGGGAGGAGTGAGACAGTGAGGAGTGAGAGAGAGAGTTGCAATCAATCTCTCGGTTGGCCTCCAAGAATGCCTCTGGCTGTCGTGCTTTGCTCGTCCCCTCGCTCCATGCCTCTCTCCCCTTCTATGAGCCCCCCTCCACTCTGTTCCCTCCTCTGGCCCCCCCTCTGATCCCTCTTGTGCTCTCTATCCCTCGCCAGAGTTGGATCCAGAGCGGTTAGCAAAGGCGGCCATGCAACTGAGTGAGCCCATCTTGGATATAGGCACTCCCATTGCTGCTGCTTCTGATGATGCTGATTCCGCTGACGCTGGTGATGCTGGTTCTGACGCTGGGGAGACAGAGGGAGCAGAGGCAGAATCAGACATTGCTGAGGGAGAGGCAGCGGATGCTGCAACAACTTCAGCTGATGACGTAGCAGCGCCGGATGACCTGACAGCGGAGGCAGCTGCCACGTGGCAGGCGCTAGCCCTGTCCACATCAGCGGACATCTCAGCAGCCCTGTCAGCAGCAGCGTGCATCCTGCAGCAGCGGGTGAGACGAATGGTCGGTGTGGGACTCAGTGAGGACGAAAAGAAGGCAGCGGGGTCTTTCTCAACGGACTACTATGAGGATGAGGACAGGCTCAGGGGGCTAGTGGCGTGTCGAGGCGGGCGGTACAGGAGCGCTGCTGAGATCATTGCTGAGAGCAACGGGGTAAGGAGCAGCGAGGGTCAAGGGCAGGGAGAGGGACAAGGGGAGGGGCGAGGGGAGGGGCAGGAGGCGCAGGGTGTGGAGCAGGTGGGGTTTCCTCCTGCAGCGGTGAAGGATGGGTCGCTGTGTTCAATTGAAGTGATGCGGTGGGTGCATGAGCGTGAGATGGTGCTGCGGTTTCGCATGGTGAAGAAATCCATTCTGGGTGAGGCGGATACCAGGATGAGCGTGTGGTGTGGAAAGGGACATGCCGTTGCCAGCCAATGACAGGATACTCACATGCAGCAGTGATAGCATGCTACCATGGAGCGGTGGGTGCATGAGCGCGAGATGGTGCTGCGGTTCCCCATTCTGGGTTAGGCGGATACCACGATGGGCGTGTGGTGTTGCACTGGCCGCAAGGGGCATGTGAGCCAATGATGCTGTTGGGAAGGAATTAATAAAAAACGAAGGAACATGCTATGGTGTTGGAGAGAGGGATGCACCAGCTTATTGTTGTGATATAATTCGTACTTAGCATTTATGTAAGTCGATTATAGATAGTGTCGAATCCTACTGTAGAAGAGTCTATAGGATGACGTCAGCAAATAGCGCTCGTCATGAGGACAGTCGTTTCAGTCACTCGAACAGTCGCATCTCATCATTATCATTTAGGGCGCATGGCACGATAGTGACGAACAGGTACATTAGCGAACAGGTACTTTCCTAGAACTAAAAAACATTGTTATGCTTTTTTCATATTAACTTTGATTACCCCACAAGTTCATGAGCTCAGGTTGTTCAACCTTGACTTTCACAAGAGTTATACTCAGATTCACTTTTACAAGACTTCCGTTGTCTTACTAGTCTATCATTCCAGTAAAGATCCTAGGCTAACACTGAGGTTTTCCAAGTGTTTGTGTTTGCAAACTCTACACATAGTTTCCTGCAACAACTGTCAAATTATTACATGGTATGAGAGCTGTTTGGAATTAAGTTAAGACTACCGCCAAAATGACTGGAACAACACCAGCTCAATCTACTGGATCTACTTTCGGAACTACTGGAGTACCTGTCTCCACGACCGCCACTGGTCTCTCAGCCACTGGACCGTTTCCACCGGCTTATGCGCACATCGGCATGCAGCAGCAAAATCCTCCTGTTAATACTCCAGGGACTTCATCGACTGCCCCTGCAGCGCAACAACAACAAACACAGACAACAGCACAACAACAGGCATCAGTAAAACAACAGGCAACAGTACAACCACAGTTTTCAACTCAGTCAATATCGTCAGCGTTGAGTGGAATGAGTCTTGATGGCTCAAGTTATATGCGTGGAGCTTCACCTCCAAGTTCTGGCTCATTTGCCTTCTCACCTTTTGCGCAGCAGCCTCAGTAGCAGCAGCAGCACCCCTTTTACATATTCGGACGTTCACCTGCTCAGCAACAACAACAGCAACAGCAACAGCCACAGCAATTTCAGCAACAGCAACAACAGCAACAGCCACAACAATTTCAACAACAGCAACAGCCTCAACGGGGTGTAATTTTTCAACCACCGAATTTACTTAACAGCACACAGATCAAGACCACTATACCTTTTAACGGAGTTGATTTTTACTCCTGGAGCTTCGAATTTGAGCTTTTGGGGCAGTCTGCCGGGCTATGGCAATTCTTCACCTGCGAGTTTACATATCCTGTAACGGGAACACAACTGGAGCAGCAGAGTTCTTGCACGCCTCTCTTGGGGCGTATACAGTTCTTGTTTGGAACTTATCCCCAAAGGAGCAGCTCGGCATTCGATATTTTCATTCAAGCTTTACGCCAGCTGAAACTGCATGGAACCACTTAAAGGGGGTGTACATGGCAAAATATACAATAACAGTGAGTAAGATTCTTTCGCAACAGACAAATATGCAGATGATGACAAACGAGAATGTCACGGATTACGTCAATCGCGTCCGTACACTACGCGATCAACTGGAGAAGAGTGGGGGATCCTTGCCTCGTGACATGTATCTCACGGTCCTTCTTGCTGGCCTTGGACCCGAATGGCGACAGACGCGCGCCTTCCTGCGCATGAATCCGAACCTCTCCGAAGCCGAGATTTCTTCGTATCTTCAAGCAGAGCAGCAAGATCTTGACCTGTAGTCACAACGCAATCAGAAAAAAGGGATGCATTTAACTTATTACTCAAATCCAGAACCGCAGCAGCAACGACTTCCCCCGAAATATCCTTTGTGTCATTTCTGCAAGAAACCAGGACACACTTACCAGACTTGTTGCAGGCGACATCAAAATTGTCGCAGCACTTCACACCCGTATCACCGTTGGCAGCAGTTACCGAAGACACATCAGCCAACGCAGCAGTCGGCGTCCCCGACGCAGCAGATGCCAAAACCGCCGCAGAATCCACCACTATCACAACATCGCCCTCCGGTCTTTGCGTTCCCAACATCCGGAAAAGGGGTCTTTGGATGTGATACAACAGTTGATGCTTCAGAAACAGATTTCGAGACACGACTTGAAGAAACTACAAGTGCAGAGGGCATTCCCTTACCTCAAATTTATGCTAACCTTGCTCTGATCACCCAGAAGAAACAGATTATCAACACGTGGATATTGATTTTCGGGCAACTACTGTACCAACAGCTTCTCAAACTGCAGCAGCCGTTCTTACCGCACTGGATACTTGGTGTGAGAGTACGACCCCGTTACACCACTTGGCCTTTTCTTATTTCCTTCCTATTTCATTTCTCTTTTTATCTCATCTCATTTGGTTTCCTATTTCTCTTTTTCCATTATCCTTTGGGTTATCCTGTTATTTTCATTATATCACTGACCAGGCTCGGGATGTACTGGTGCGCTCTATCTAGCGTAATCCTACCGTTATCCCTTAAAGCCAATAGCCTCGCGTGGCTATACGCAGTGTGATTCTATATTCTAGAAGGGCCTATTCCCTTGGGATAAGATAAACCTGGTTACCTGATATACTTTGGAAGTATAAAAGCACCTTGTACTGATCGATAGTGCAACCTTTCATCGAGACATTCGATCCTGTAACACTTGGTAATCAGAGCTTTTCTCACTCGGCCGCGCTCAACAAAGCAGCCGCAGCGGGAAAACCTGGCTCGAAAAACCGCCGGGGGCGACCAATTCGACGCTGATTCTGGTAAGCACCAGCTCCGCGTTTTTTCGAATCACCCCCCCCCCCGCGCGTGTTTTGAACAGGATGGCAACCTTCGACAACGCCGAGGTTACCCAACAGCTCTTCGCGCGCATCGCCACCCTTCAGGAGGAGATGCGAGCGGATAGCGAAGCGTGGTGAAACGAGTTCGAGCGAGTAACTCGACTCGCCGGAGCGCAGCACGACTCGACAACGACGACGACGCAAAAGTCGCAGCAGTTTCTCGAGGCTCCGAAACCGCGCCCACCTGAGCCGCTCGATCCGAGTGATCGAAACTCCGACGCCCGCAGATGGATCGCCGGGATGGAGATCTACTTCGTAGCCGTCGGATGGAGCTCGCCAGTCTGGGACGGTCAAAGTGTACGACTCGCGGGGACACTGATGCGAGGGCCGGCATTCGAGTGGATTGGCGGCAATAGCACCTTCATCCACGGTGAAGCCACGTGGCAGCAGCTCCGCACCGACCTGCTGAAACGCTTCGAACCGATAAATTCGGGTTTCCTTGCCCGGGAAAAAAATCATCGACATCGACAGCTCGGGAGTGTAGCGCAATACACGCAACAAATGGAAGAATTTTATAACCGAATTCCAGACCTCACCGAAGGGGAAAAAGTACAGTCGCACCTCGCCGGGCTGAAGACCGAAATCAAACGACAAGTGGCAGCGTCAAACTACGCGAGCTACAGTGACGTCGTTTCGGCAGCGGAGCGCTTCGACATGATCAACGCCGGGACACGACAGACGCACGTCGGCAGTACGCGACAGGGTGACCGCTCGGCTCACCCCACGTTCGCCGACCCGATGGAAGTCGACAGATTCGAGGGGCGGCCACGTCCGAAAAACACCAACTACACGTGTGATGTTTGCGGGGTGCCGGGTCATCGAATCTTCGACTGCAACAAAATGAAAACCGCACGCGCAGAGTATCGGGCACGCAACAGTGGCGGAAATCCTTCGGCCAATCAGAAGACAAAAAAACGGGAGTCGCCGGTGATTGCGGATCTAGCTGGCAAAAATAAAAAGACCCGGAAGCGGCCGCAGGATTCCGGAAGAACCAACTTCGACGAAGCTGATTCGACGCGAGAAGGATGAAATGATGGGGGAAAATCTCCACCCCACGACAAGTCTTCGCCAGGGAAAATCGCTGAGAAAAAATACGACTCCGCGAAAAAAGACTCTGCCGAGATGGGGAAACTCCTTGAAGACCCAAGAAATTATAAGGATTCGTTAAAGCTATCCTATAAAGATGCTTTAATGAAAACTTATGATTCTCGAGGGGCTAGAGCCTTGGAGAAAATTCGGGAAGGACTCCAAAAGAAGCAGAAAGCTGTAGAGATTACAGCGACGGAAAGTATTGTCCACATGTTTGTGACTTAGAGGAATTTTGCCATTTCAGGGGGTCATGGACATTAAGACTTAATCTTCTGGTGTGCCTAGTGTATGTAGGTTGGGGTAAGGCTCCACGCCCATGCCTTACATCACACAAGTATAATGATGTTTACAACAAATACTAGAAAATAACAATCTTGGTACATGTGGACAATTATTGCCAGGCGCAAGCAGCAAGTTACATCAACCCCAAACTAGTACCTAATCCACCGCCCTTTCGCCTTAGACACCGCCCTCACCCTCCTGGGCATGCTTTCCACTAGGTGGGTGCACACATCCGCCGGGATCTTCTCCCATTTCTCCTGCACCCGCTCCCAAAGGTCCAGCATACCAGTGGGAGGCTTATAAGGCTTGGCCAACTGCCTCTTGAGATGAGCCCATAAATGCTCCATTGGGTTGAGGTCGGGTGAGGAAGACGGCCACTCTAGCACCCCTGAATCTTACTCTCAAAGCCACTCCTGAACGATTGAGATTGTCCTGCAGTATACTCAGCGAGAGCAGTCCGTCCACCCTACCTTATGTTTTGCTCATGAAACCCGCTCCCTTTTACGACATGCAGTCGTAAATTATCAAGCAACCGCCCCTGTGTTTGACAGTCTGCTTGATTTGGTGTCTTTGGAGGGCAGTCCCTTCGTGAACGTAGGCGTATGAGAGTCAGTCGGATGCAAGACGACCGATCATGGTCTCATTCGCACAGATAACTCGCTTCTAGTCGTCAACCGTCCAGTCTGCGTGGGCACGCGCCCATTCCAGCCTATCGCGTATGTTTTTCCGAGAGTGTCGCGGTTTCTTGGGATGCTTGATTGCGACAAGTCGGCTCCCATTCAAAGCGTTACGCAATGTCTTAGGATGCAACGTGATGCCGTGTTGCTTCTCAACGATTTTCGCCACGTGAGCGGAGATTTCTGCCTCCTCGAGGGTAATCAACCGAACTATGCCGCGGCGAACTCTCTCTGTCACTAAGCGAGGGCGACCGGCTGAGGGCATCGTAGGACGCACGTCATCGCGGCTAGACTCTACAATCGCCTTGATTGGCCGAACTCTTCCCTATGGCTAGCTGTTTAGCGATTCAACGATTGCTCTACCCCCTCCGCAACAAGGGAATGATCTATGCGTAGAGCGCCTCATCTAACGGTTTCATGACGGCCTAATCATCGCAGCGGTCCTAGCCTATCTCCTGACTACTCGATAGTCGCGAGGGCAA